ATAAGTTCATAAAACTGTACTAATCATAAATAGGAATCTTTACTTAAAAATTATTCAATAAACTTTTCATTCATAGGCATATTATATTCATAATTGGGACTTGATTAAAAGATTATTGTTTATTTTAATTTACTTAGTTTGTATCCCAACAACAAATCCACAAGAATAGATGTATGTTCCTTTTTACGGCCAAATTGTGATCGCTATATGTCCGAACGAATCTTATTTAAAACTGCCACTATTACACTAAAAATGTTTTATATTTATGCACTTTCAATTTGGTTTTATAAAGCCTGATATCCTTTTATGAAACAGATAAATATAAATATGGGAAAACGTCATTCTATGCACGTGCGTGTATACCAATACTTGTGAACATGTAAACATGTAAATCTGCTATTAGGGTCAGTGGCTAAATTTTTTAACTTAAAACTTATTTTTTTACTTTTGTAGTTTGCCACCCTTATAAAAATTAGTTTTTTATGGGGTTTTAAATACAAGGGCAAAATTAATTACAATTTCCCCTTGATTCTCGTTTTTTTTTTCTACCTTATTTTTGGGTTTTTAAGCAGTATGCAAAATTCCCCAACAAAAATTAAACTTTAAATTCCCCCAGATTCAAACGCACACATCCTATGTCTACAATTCACTACAGAAATGACTTGTCACATTCTCATATGTTATATTGTCTCTGCTATTAGCATCCAATGTTCACTCTTAGGATTTCTCATGTGTTTGATATGCCTCTCCGGTGATGTGCATCCTAATTCTGGACCAGAGATTTTCCTCTTATTTTTCTTTTATGCACTACAATGCTCAGAGCATTAAACATAAACTAGGCACGCTCTTTGCCGAGGTTAAGGGCTTTGATATCCTCTCTTTCTCTGAAACATGGCTAAATAGTTCAACACCAAACAGTGAATTAGTCTTTGATGGCTTTCATGATCCAGAAAGAAAGGATCGATCAAGGAGTAGTCACGGGGGAATGCTTTTGCATGTAAAAAGCCGCTATCGTTACTTGCGTCGTCATGACTTAGAAGTTCAAGGAATTGAGTGCATTTGGGTTGAAATTATTTGTAAGACAAAACGCTTTCTCTATGGATCTTACTACCACCACCTAACACTTCTACCGTACAACACTCCTTAATCGAAGATTCCATTAATCTTGTTGTTGATTCCGGTATACCAAACATCATAATCACGGGAGACTTCAACATTTACACACTTTATTCTACTGCCTCTAGAAAATTAATCTCATTTAGTCAGCAACTTTCACTTACTCAACTTATTTCAGAGCCAATCCACTTTACTGAAACCTCCTACTCACTAATCGATATTATTCTCACATCGAATCCTGTATTCATACACAATGTTGGTGTTGGTGAACCTTGCCTGGACCAACCTGTTCACTATCACTGTCCAATTTTTGGCCTGATAAATTTTTATAAAGCAAATACTCACACTTATACAAAAAACATATGGCTGTTTGAAAGAGGCAACTACCAACAACTTCGAGAACTTGCAGCTTCAACAAATTGGCACCAATTTAAAGATCAAAACATACATATATACGCACTCAAAATCACAGAAGCCATAATAGACATTTCTAAAATATGTATTCCTAACAGAAACGTAACCAATAGACCAAATGACCCACCCTGGTTTCCTCCTAATTTGAAAACACTTATATTATAAAAAAAATAAAGCCAAACGAACCAATACAGAACATGATTGGCTGCGACTTAGGACACTTCGCAACAATATTATTTAAAAAAAAACAGTTCTAAAGCAAAATATTTAAAAAAATCTTGCAAATAATCTTAAGACATCACAGCAAACTCAAAATCCTGGTGTTTCTGTTTGAAATCATTTATAAAACCCTGTTCCTCCTCCTCTATTCCTCCTTTGCAAAATAGTGATATTTTAGCTACAGACAGAAAGACAAAGCAGACATATTGAACAACTATTTTATAGATCAAACACTTTAAAATGAACCAGAGCAAACTTCGGCAATTTTCCAGCACAATGAACCTTGTACATCGAATATGGAATCCTTTTCGATACACATGACGAAATTTCCCTAGTTCTAAAACATTTACCTTTAGGTAAAGCAGCAGGTCCAGACGGTATAAGCAACAGAATTCTTGCAGAGTGTTGTAATGAGCTTTCTACTCCTTTAGCTGAATTGTTTAATGAATCTCTACGTTCTTCGGTATTTCCCATATGTTGGAAAGAAGCGTTTGTCTCGCCTATATTCAAATCTGATAACCGGTCTTTTCCTGGAAACTATCGCCCTAATATCTCTTCTTTCTACAATTGGTAAAGTCTTGCAAAGAATTGTTTTCAAACACACCTTCAACTACCTCCACTCCAACAATTGTTTAATCCTTTGCAGTCAGGCTTCATACCTGGTGACTCAACAACAAACCTGCTAACATATCTCACAATTATTTTACTGAAGCAATTGACGCCGGTAAGGAAGTTCGTGCCGTATTCTGTGATGTTAGTAACGCATTTGACAGGGTGTGGCATAAAAGCCTATTGTTCAAACTTAAATGTATGGGCATCAATGGAAACTTGCTTTCATGGTTCTCATCCTATCTCTATGGTCGCAGGCAATGTGTTGTTATACCTGGAGCACATTCTAAATGGAATACTGTTAAAGCAGGAGTACCTCAAGGATCTATTTTGGGACCTCTTTTGTTCTTAGCATATGTTAACGACATTGTTATCGACATACGTGTAAGCTAATATTCGAGTCAAGATAAGAGATTCTGTTTTTTTCGGGTCGAACTTTACCATTCAGGTTTTGGCCCAGTCGGAGATAGTAGAGAGATCAGAGTTAAGACTGGTAGCAGCAGAGGTAGGATCAGTTAGATATAGACTCGTGTCATCAGCAAATAGGCGAATATTAGCTTGTATATCGATATGATAGGATAGGAGACAATATGTTGCGAGTCCTTCCCATAGACCTTTTCTACGTTGGGTCCGTTGCTATGACCGGACACAAAATATACCCTAAAACAGACTATGTTAATCTTTGACCTCCAAGTGTGACCTTGACCTTGGAGGTAGGTGATCGATTGTTGCGCATGACACATCGTCTCATTGTTGTGAACAATGGTGGCAAGTATTTACAAAATCCCTTCAAAGATAAAAAAAAGTTATTGACCGAACACAACATATAACCTCAATTACACAATGTTGACATTGAATTAGCAAGTGCAACCTTGACCCTGGAGGTAGGGCTCTGGTTGTTGCGCAAGACACATCTTCTTATCATAACAAACATTTGTGCCAAGTTATTTAAAATTCCTTTGATAAATGACAAAGTTATGGACCGGACACGAAAGTGTGACGGACGGACGGACGTGCCAACAATTGGGGTTTATGTGCTTTTTCTTTGATCTTTATGTGGCATTTTTCCCCATAAACCAGTAAAAAACCAGTAAAATTACCATATAAACCAGTCGGTTTATGGAATTTTCTTCTTATGGATGTAATAAAGCTCATCGACCATTGGATGTTCGTTCGGACAGACGGACAGAGCCTATTTCTATATCCCCCTTTTTTCCTCGAAAATGCGGGGGACAAAAAAGGGTTTCTGACCAATAACTTGACAACCCATGTATCGTTGGCCCGGAAACTTCAAAGGTACTTTAGACCTGGTAAGTAGATGAACTTATAGATTTTTGGGTCGCAAGGTCAAAGTTCAAGGTCATATTGACAAGAACAGAACGTTTTCTGTCCGTAAACTGGCAACAGATGTGTCTTCCAGGCTTGGCACGGAAACTTCTTTGGTGCTGTGGTCTTGGGCAGTAGTTGACACCTTTTGATGTTAAGGTAAAAAGTTTGAAGGGCAAGGTCACATTCACCTTTAATGCAAAAATGGTCTCTGACCAATAATTCGGCAAACCATGGGCCCTTACTAGGAGCATTTGTCTTTGGGCATAGATGACCCTATTGATTTTGATGTCAATATTGACCTTTTATCCCATAACAGTTTCCAACCATTAACTCGGCCCATGTGCCTTCCAACTTCATCAGAGACATTGGTGTTTTGCAATATATGAACCCTTTTGATTTTTTGGTCGAAGACTCAAAGGTAAATGTCACGTTTTGCCTTGAATACCAAAATGATTTCCAAACAACACTGCATGCAACAACTTTTGACATGTTGACGAGGGGTGCATGCATGTTTTACAAACATGTCTTGTTATAATTAATGTTAGCATTTTATGTATAGTTTGAACTTCTCCAAACATTGGATATCTTATAGCAGTACATGTTTGTAATCATGTGCCCTTTGAACCATGCTGGTCATGCCATCATTTAAGCTTATTTTTTATAAGTACCTATATTGACAAGTCCAATGACTATCAACAAACTTTCTCTGGGATAAAGAATATTTGGGTTTTTTTCAGCTATTCCGTGGGTATTTTTCTGGTCCTTCGGGATCATTGATGCCAGCACTATTAAGTATTGAGAATTGAGTACGGCTCAAGCCGGTGCTAGGGGGCGTTAGGGATGTTGCACATATTCATTATCCCTCATGTACAGACTCAATCAAACCGAGTCTGCAATTCTCTTGTAATATTGTTGTGATTAATGCTTCCGAGGGATCACTTTGTTTCCAGATTTTTTTACAAACAAACTTTTACAGTTACAGCTTCGAAAATAATTGCAACTGGTTAACTAATGTGATGGGTAGTGCACCTTGAATATAGTATACCAGTAAAAGTTTTCTTGTAACGGAATAATCTTGCAAAAAAACCCAAATTTGCCAAATTCCGGATAACGTCTATAACCACCAATCACATGGGTGAACGTTGGAAATTGTAAAAATCCTGAAAATCCTGAATGTAGAAGTTTTTCTCTAGTTAAATAGAAAAGTAAAAGGTCTTTACGGAATAACTTGAAAAAACCCAATTCAGGAAATTCCTGAAAATCTTTCCCAGCCCAATCACGATATCTTTATTTAAAGAATAAAACTAAACATATTTCACTTTATCAACATATTTTAATGATAAAAGTCTATACAAATATAACTTAGGCATTTTAACATTATACAAAGAGAATAAAAATCCAAAAATGAGTATGCAGCACTTGACAAACGATAAAAAGCCAACATACATTATGACGTATAAACACCTTCCACCAACTACCCCTTATATAACACCATTGTCAACTTGTTCTAAAGTTTAATTCGTTAACAGTGTATTATTTAACTCTAGATAAAAAGGTCTACCCAAAATGACAGTTGTCCTTGGTTAATTAAAGTTCACAATTTTATGCTTTTATCATAATTTTTTTTTTAATTTCCTTTTCTCACTCCGTATTTATACTAGTAATCCGTAGGCAAATGCTTGCTTTTTGTTTTCTTTTTCTTTTTGATGTTGTTTTGTTATTTTTCAATAGTTACAATTTTGAAAATCGATGTGATTTTTTTCTTTCTACGCATTAATAGAAAAATTCAACAAAATAAGTAGATAGTGGTAGGTCATAACATACAATACATTCATCTTGTTTGTATGTTTAACTCCGAAATGGGTAACATATTTAATATACAACACATTCACCTTATTTGTATGTTTACTTCAATCTAAGGAAACATACTCAATGACATTTAAATATACAACACATTCAATTTTTTTCTTGTATGTTTACCTCGATTTAAAAAAAAGATACATGCACAATAACGCTTAATATACAACACATTCAATTATTCAACTTTTGTATGTTTACCTCAGGGGTAAAATAATATTATACAATACACTCAAACATTCAACTTGTTTTGTATGATTACCTCAAGAGTACAATACATTCAAATATTCAAATTGTTTTGTATGAATACCTCAGGGTAAAATACACTCAAATATTCAACTTGTTTTGTACGATTACCTAAGGGTATAATACACTCAAATATTCAACTTGTTTTGTATGATTACTTCAGGGTATTATATTCCCCATACTGCTCTAGTACCCACAAAAGTATGTAATATACTCTACAAAAAATTCTATTTTTTTATGTTAAGCCTGGTATGCCGTGCCTTCAGGTGTAGGTAACTCAAATAAACAGCCCAGTTAAATTGGTAGCGTGTTCAAAACTGTTCAACCAATCATGTTAATACTAGACTACAATATTATTTTATAACCTGCACTGGTTTAAATGTACCTAAAGTGGGCTTATAAATCCACATAAAATGGACTTATAAATCCACATAGAGTGGGCTTATAAATCTATTTAAGATGGAAATCTGCACTCATTCATCAGTAGAAATATTAACCAATCAAAATGGACAAAATTCTGTCATGAAATGTAAATACTAACCAGTCTGATTGAACTATTGTTCAGTCTAAATAGTTAGGCCTGTTTACATACAAAATAAATGCTTCACACATTACTAAAAATGCATCATTTAACATATAATTCCATATATTTGAACACACAAAAAAATGTACACACTTTATATGAAAGAGTTCTTGTTTGACAATGTTTTTAAAACATGAAGCAAAGAAAAAAAGGAGAGAAAAGAAAAATATGAACACAAAAGACTAGATCTTATCTAAAATACAGTACCAACAGAAATTATAAATTGATCCAAAACTTAACTGGCATGAACAAAGAGTCATTTGTTTGGGGTTTTTTTGTTGCTTTCTTTTTTCCCCTTTTCAGTGTAAGTTATATTGCTTTCTATGAAGTTAGAAAGAAAATCAAACTGTCAAGAAATGTAAGGAGTTCTGCCATTGGTCTCTTTTTTCACTTTATGATCCAATACAACTAAACAGTGGACCAATCAGCTATATACTAAAGAATGGACCAATCAGACACCTACTTAGAAAAGGACCAATCAAAAATGTATTAAGAATAGACCAATTGGATAAATGCTTAGAATGGATCAGATTGAATTAAATTGATTTCGAGTAAATTTATTATCATATAAAAGCTTATACATTAGTACTGTAATAAATGATAGTCACTATAAATGGTCTGATCATTGCACTTTCTTTAATGAAACTATTTAAATCACATTTCCCTACTAAAACTCAAAGAGTACATAAAAATATCAAGTACATGTAAAGGGCTGACAAAATTGAAGCAGTGACATGTCTGGGGTTTTCCCTTTCAGTTTTCTTTCGCTTGAGATTGGGATATGATGTGTATCTTATTATTACTAAAAAAATAATATTAAATATCAGTTATCATTCTTCTTGCTTCCTCTCAGAGATATATTTAAGACTAAATGTAACAATTATTGAGTTTTTTCCCCCACTTTTCCTTAATTAAATGCAAGTTAAATCAATTTTTCATCAGTTAAAATTCTTTTTTTTTTTTTTAAACTTTTATATTACCTTACTTCACTTTGTATTCTTTCTTGTTCACCAGAAACTGATGTCATAAAGTAATGTAACAATGGACCAAAGGGAAATAACTTTTTAATTTAACGTTTCCTTTATTCATGTGATTACTTGTAACCTTAAATTATTACAAAAAAAAAAAAAAATTGATTATTTTTTTTAATAAATAGATAAAAAATTTTGCTGTATGTTGAAGGGAACTTAAAATTGCAAAAATAAAATACCACAATATTTGTCAATCCCTTAATGTCTATACATGTAACTTAATGGCGAAGGTGTGCTTTCACGCTCACACTGCTGGAACCACAAGTGCTTCAGCCTTTGCCACCAGTATGGAACCAGGCCTGTCTTTACATTTCCTGCAGTCCCACCACGGTCTAAACTGTCTGCAGGCAAACTTAAATTTTTTGTCTCATTATCCCCCCCCCCTCCAACAGATTAGTAAAATAATGGTCAGGTTCTAAAAATAGAATGTGGACAAGTCCATTCTTGAAATTCAGCAGATTCAGGGGGGAGTATTGAAATTTATGGATACTGTACTGTCTGGGTTTTATCATTAACAAAAGCAAAATAAATATATATCAACATACTACAACATTTAAACCCTGAATCCGCTGAATATGTGTAATGGATTTGCCCAGCTTTTTAATTTGGAACGATCCATTGAAAGTTTAAAGGGGGTTTTGGTAATCAAAAGTACTCTCAATAATTGAGCTCCCAACAGTATATAAAGACCCACCTCAAATCAGACAGACAGTGCAGTAGTGGGCGAGACAGGCCCGGTTCTATACTTGGTGCAACAAAAGCGGGTCAATTTCGGTTTCCAGCAGGTTCACGGGTTAAGCTAACCAATCATGCCTCAACAATTCTACTACACCAAATAAAAAAAAGTGTACACAAGAAAAACAGTAATGTTTTTTAATGACAGTTTATGAGAAGTACATCTTATCAATGAATATAATAAACAACATGTGCTAAATAATTACTTTTATAAAAATCAATACCATACTATCTGGTCTAAATAAAAGCAACACCATACCTCTTTCTCCCTCCCCTTCTCATTCACCCCTTGTTTTTCGTTATTTTATTGTTGTTGTTGTTGTTGGAAAAGTACTAAGTAAGAAGAAAATTTCTCTACTCATTAGGTTATTTAATTCATTTTCATAAAAATCAATCAGTGGAGTAACTTGAATCATTTTTGTAACAAAACATGCATAACGTAGTACATTATTTGAGAAATAACCTTCAATGTTGCATTTATAGTTGAAGATTTCCTTTTATTATCTTTATTTCAAAAAATAATTCCATATATATAACCTCAATAAATTAATAAATCAATCAATCAATTCTTTCCAGAATGCTTTTTTTGCAGTTTTTTTTTTAGTATTCATAGTAAAATTAATTTAAACATGGAACCAAAATGTAATGTTAGTTTTGCTCTTAATCCATTGGAAACATTTCATGAGATATTTGTTTAAATCAATGGATACTCTGCAATGCTGGCTTTTAAATGTACTAAAAAAAACCATACCCATACTATTAGGAAAAGTTGGACGATCTATTTTTAGCCTCAACAAGGCTCCAACTTTTGAGTTAATCTACGGAAGGTAAATGACCATGGAGACCAAAGAATTTGAGGAATAAGTCAATAAACGTACTGTGAAAAAAAACGATAAGAAAATTTGATGAAATAAAGAAAATAAATCTGCAACTAAAAATGCTCCATCGTGAAGTATCTTTGTTTGGGAGGCGTGTTTTGTTTGGGGGAGGAGTTATAAAACAAACAGGACACACCCACTTACAAGGTGTTATGTATAATATACCAATCATTTACATGTACACACACATCTACATAATCATCCTAATATAATAGTGACATTGTATCAAAAGATGAAAAATGTTAAATATTTAACACACTGAAACCTTGACTACAGATCATTCAAGACAACCCATCTTTTCTTTTTTTTTAAATTTCAACAAAATTGTGTTATTGTTTTTTTCATAGTTTTTTTGTTTTTTTTGTTGTTGTTTCGTTCTTTTTTCCAATTTTTCCCTCTGTTTTCGTAAGGCTTAAAAAAATCTTTTTGTTTTGATTTATCTGTATCATTTGTTTCGGTTTGCAACCGGAACGCATTAAATGTACGTTTTTCTAAGCTAATCCCACTAGTATAAACTACTGTTGTTCCGTTATAGTTTTACAGTGCGTTACAGGTCACAGTAGATTAGTCAACCTTTTGAACTTATTTTCAAAAAGGTATTACTGCATAAAACATTGTTTGTACCCCTGAATTAACTAGTGAAAAAGCCTTAAATATTGTAAATTGTAAATTTTGCAACAAGTCTACACGTATATGTTCTGTCATTATCGGACAGAATTATAAAAATTTATCAATTTAATCCGACCATCAATTTTATTGTTTGTAGAATTTATATAGTACAAACTTATCAATTTCAAACTTTGGAATTAAAGATATACTATAAGATTAAAATATCTTCTATCTATGCAGGGAATAAAATATAGCACTTTTTAAAATTGTACCATTTGAAATAGATCACCATAACATATTCCTAAGAAAACAAAAAGTATGATGCAATTTTCATTAACAAAAAATAAATCATAAAATAATCCTAACGTTGTATTACTTACCACAGAATTTCAAGCAATGAAACAAAGTAAAGTTCTCTTAAATAATATGTTCCTAAGGATACAGCAAGTACAATGTAATTTTTCATTAAAAAAAATTTCCTAATATCCGTATTACCAAATATTTTTTTGAAAGCAGTGACTGTTAAAAGTTCTCTTAAATGAAATATTCAGAAGTCAGTTATATGAAATATTCGGAACTATACAGTAAAATGACGCAATTTTCATTAAAAAAAAAATCCTAGCCTTGTATTACTACACACCAAATTTTTCACGCAATCACTGTTAAAATTTAACTTAAATGAAACTTTCCTTATTTTACACAGAAAATTTTGACACAATGACAATAAAAGTTCTCTTAAATGAAATGTAGTTCTAGTCTCGTTTCTAAATGTCAATATCAATTCATTTTAATTCACAACAAACAAAACAAAACAAAGGCAATATAAACACAACGCAGTAGTTAACATTAAATCATCTCATAAAAAACTTGGTTTCCAAGGTAACTAACTTGGCTTCTTTTTTTTTATGTTGCCAATATATTTATAAAACACGTCAGTCAAGATTTTGATAATCTTAACATTTTTTAAAAGCAGAGATATGATCCAGTATTAGTTTCGTACAGTAAGAAAGAAAGAAAAAAAACAAGAGCGCCACACGCATGCGGTGTTACCACTTGTCTCTCAAGTTAAGTGTAACTGATTTTGACAAAAATTTTATGTTAAAAAGGGGCACAACTCCAAAAAAATGCTTTCAGAGTTATGCCCTTGCCTAACAACAGCATCTTGCCATGATAAGAAAGTATTTCAAGTTTCATATTGATAACTAAAAAAATTTGAACAATGGGCTACATTAAAATTGTTTGTACAACGTGATAGCTCTACTTTTTTTTTCAAAACAGACGAGTAAAAATATGATATCAAGTTGAAAATTTCGGGTAGTATAATAACAGATATATAGATGTAACTGTAGGTAAGAAAAGAAAAACCATCCAATGGGGTTTTTTTTATCAATGTGAAATTTCAGTAAAAAATGGGTAAATTATTTCAATTGTATCCTAAAACTTTCCTTAAAGGGAGTCCATCGATGTTTTATAACTCGAAAATACTGGAAATATTTTTTTTATGGTCTTGTAACTCGAAAATACTGGAAATATTTTTCACTTTAACTGAGATTAATTTCATTCGTTCTGTACCAATGACTTAATGCGCAAAAATTTCAGATCATTCATTTACTACTTCCAACCAGAACAATTATTTTCATAGTCCAAAAAATGAATAAAGTGTTTAAACACATTTTTTTCTGTCAAATACGATTTTTAATTTAGTTCTGGGTACATCACTTGCCAATATCTTTCAATTTAACTTGTTTCAGCAAATCTTTGAAAGAATAACATTTTTTTTTTATTATTTACGATTTTGACCTCAATGGAGTCCCTTTAAAGGGCAGTATAGTTTATGTTTGATTTTTTATTTTAAATTTATAAGTCATGGTTAAAGCAGGTGTGCGGGTCAATCAGATAATCAAAATGTGACTGGTCGATGTCTCTTACACAAAGACCACCAATTCTTGTCTTAAATTTGTATTTCCAAAAAAAAAAAATATATATATATATATATAATTATTATATATGTACAACAAAACTATTTGACTATTAGATAGTGTATCATGTATATAAACATGTATAATTTAAATTATGCAGATTTTAACAGCTGTGTGTTTCAAATTGAAATGTAAAAAGAGGGAGAAAACAAAAACAACATTAATTATACCATACATGATGTAAAAAAAAATAAACCCAACGAGAAAGTAAATGATTGAAAATAAATAAAACATTTTGTCATCATTAAATAAATATAGACATGGATTTTTAACATACAAGAAAACTTAGATTATTACAGGTTTATTTCTGAACATAACCAACGAGAAGCTTCAGTGAAACTGTAAATCGAACATGAAAATGTTTATCTTTGTTGACTATAACCAACGAGAAGCTTCAGTGAAACTGTAAATCGAACATGAAAATGTTTATCTTTGTTGACTATAACCAACGAGAAGCTTCAGTGAAACTGTAAATCGAACATGAAAATGTTTATCTTTGTTGACTATAACCAACGAGAAGCTTCAGTGAAACTGTAAATCGAACATGAAAATGTTTATCTTTGTTGACTATAACCAACGAGAAGCTTCAGTGAAACTGTAAATCGAACATGAAAATGTTTATCTTTGTTGACTATAACCAACGAGAAGCTTCAGTGAAACTGTAAATCGAACATGAAAATGTTTATCTTTGTTGACTATAACCAACGAGAAGCTTCAGTGAAACTGTAAATCGAACATGAAAATGTTTATCTTTGTTGACTATAACCAACGAGAAGCTTCTGTGAAACTGTAAATCGAACATGAAAATGTTTATCTTTGTTGACTATAACCAACGAGAAGCTTCAGTGAAACTGTAAATCGAACATGAAAATGTTTACCTTTGTTGACTATAACCAACGAGAAGCTTCAGTGAAACTGTAAATCGAACATGAAAATGTTTACCTTTGTTGACTATAACCAACGAGAAGCTTCAGTGAAACTGTAAATCGAACATGAAAATGTTTACCTTTGTTGACTATAACCAACGAGAAGCTTCAGTGAAACTGTAAATCGAACATGAAAATGTTTATCTTTGTTGACTATAACCAACGAGAAGCTTCAGTGAAACTGTAAATCGAACATGAAAATGTTTATTTTTGTTGACTATAACCAACAATAAGCTTCAGTGAAACTGTAAATCGAACATGAAAATGTTTATCTTTGTTGACTATAACCAACGATAAGCTTCAGTGAAACTGTAAATCGAACATGAAAATGTTTATCTTTGTTAACTATCAATGAAATTACAAATCAAACAACCAGTTTGTGTTTAAACTTCTTGACCTGTAGTGTAAATTCTTCCAAGATGGCTGCCACTTCTGGCAAGGGAGGTAAATATGGTGAAAAAAATCCGAAACTACTTATCTATACTGAATTAAATTATTGAAAACTTGTATGAAAAAAAAAAGATTAATCTTTGATTATAACTTTTACACAAGTGAAATGTTTGTGCATTTATATATTATACTATAATTCAAACTGATAAAAAAAAAAAGAATATATATTATATTCAAATATAATATGGGTGAGTTGTGTTGAAGATTTTTGTGAAGATTAACACAGCAGTATCAATAGATCATGAAACCTTAAAGTGTGAAAACTCTAGAAGAATTTTGTTGTTGTTTTGTTTTGATTTTTTTTTTTTGGCCTGGAAAACAGTTCTGACCAATTAAAACACAATTATTATATCCTATTACATAACCAAGAATTAATCAAACTGACTTTCTGACAACAAAATTTGCACCCTGATATCAAATTTTTTCTATGTATCAATTTTTTTTCTATGCATCATTTCTCTCCAACAATTTTTAAGAAAAGTTTTTTCGCTTGAACAGTGATTTTGGGGTTTCTTCCTTCTTTTTTTTATATTTAAATATTTCAATTTTTACTGAAATAAATTGTTAAACTTTTTGTTGTATTGCTATGCATTAATACAAAATATATCAGGGAGTAAAAAAGAACAGCCCTTTTACGCTTTTGTAGCACAACGTTAAACCCGAGGGAGTGAAATGTAAGCTCTTGTTAAAATATTGAAATATTGACTTGGTAGTGTATGGAATTCAATTCTAATTTTGATTTTAACTATAACAGCCCTTCTGAAGTTTAAAACAAACCCTCAGTATGACTAGAAAAATGCTCTGGCTTACTTGGTAATATATATAAAAATGTCATCTTGTAATTGTTTACAGTACAAACAGAACAATGTTTTATGACAGAAACATTCTATGAAAAAATTTAGATACACCAGCAAAGTCCCATATAAGTACATCCATATTTCTGATGATGAGAAATTTAATGTAGATTTAAAAAGTGATCAGAAAAAAAAAAAAAAAAATTTTTTGTCTGAGTCTCGGTAAGAGATTTAACACAATTTTACACCATATAAAACACAGAGTCTATAAATAGCCACAGAATCTATAAATAGCAACAGATTCTATAAATAGCCTATGAGGTCATAAGTAGACCTCAGATACATATATAAAAGTACGTTTTTTAATTTACAGCAAAGTTTTAATAGCAGAGTCTAGAACACAGATAACAGTGGTCGGAGAACACTTGCTGTAACCAGTCCTTGCTCAATCTTCATCCCATGACGTAAGGAAACAACACAAGTATACCAACTGTCGTGAAATAATAAAAAGCTTTGCAGGTTTCTTATCTCATTTCCTTTTCTAGAATTCAGGCAAGAAATGGATCAATGTCTTTCATCTATTTGAACTTCCTCTGAACACATTTTCCAGAATGAATTACAACTCCATCTTGTTCCAATATTACTTTTTTTTTTTTTTTAACTATTCGTGTTTCAAAGCATTAAAAAAAAAAAAAATTTAAAAAAAATAAAAAAAAATTCTTTTCTTTTTCTCTAAAAAAACTTTAAAATACCTTGTTCTGACCACTCCCAAAAACATGCATCTGTTCATATGAAAACGAAAAAAAACAGGAAAAAAAAAAACAAAAAAAAAAAACTTGGATATTTATATATTTATCACAAGATTAATACAACACAAATTCTTCACTGCAATGATTAGTGACTTACTCCCCCGAAAATGATGGTTTAAAGTATAGCCTCGAGATAATAAATGCCTGTCAGATTGCAAATATTTCATTGCGTATATAAATTTTCTAAGAAGCAATACATGTAGAGCACTAAAAAAAGGGGGGACAACTTGTCAATAAACTTGTCATCAAAGGTAAGAGTTCTCTTTCTCAACTTTTTAAGTTGATATGCACGAAACTTGTCATATATAGGAATTCACACAATATTTTATCCCTTTTTATTTTTGGTAAAAAGTTCAAAAATCCACGCCTGTCTTTGCACGCCGTCTTAACTTAAGCCAACATGAGTGGGAGTACCGAGGGCGGAGTCGAGATATAAAAAGGGAGCGCCCGATAAAGAGAGAACGGGCCGTTCATGAGGCAAGAAACACCCCAACTTGGCACGTCGGGCGTGACAACCCACAAATACCATCCAATGAATGTTAATGAATTTAAAGCAAGGTCACTTTTTGCACGAAGGATTGGACATGTCCAGCCTTCATTTTACTGATTCACACTAGGTTATACTCTTTAAGATTAAGTTGCAATATCGTGTCCTTCACTGCAGCAAATACAAAGCGAATATTCTCAGTATCTGAAATAGAGAAACAAGACTTTAGTGTCACATCAATTCATTTTCTCAGTATAAAAGTTGCCTTCAGCTCTCCTGAAGGTAAAATGAGCCGCGTCACGACAAAACCAACATAATGGGTTTGCGACCAGCATGGACGCAGACCAGCCTGCGCCTCCACGCAGTCTGATCAGGATCCATGCTGTTCGCTTACCATCTCTTTTACAAGTAGAGAAACGATAGCGAACAGCATGAATCCTGATCAGACTGCGCGGATGCGCAGGCTGGTCTGGAACCATGCTAGGCGCAAACGCTCTATGTTGGTTTTGTCGTGACGCGGCTAATTTATAGATTCCTGTAAAGAAATGTTGAAGGATAAACTGAGCTCTTGGCAGTGTAGTTTCACAAATGAAGTCTCAAATAGATTTTCTTATACAAGTCTGTATTATAAACTAAATGACCCAAAGGCTTTGCCATTTTTGACATTTTATGATTTATATAACATTTGTAGAGGACCACAAAGTGATATCTAAGCATTCAGCATTGTAGTTTTTGGGATGTAATTTTTTGATATATTCAATGTGATGCTACATGCCAAATATCAAAGCTCTAGGCATTGTACTGTCTAAGATATTTTTGTTATACAAGTCTATATTGTTTTTTATCAAGTGACCGCTGGGGACGACGAACACCAGACCACTTTGGGGTGCTCAAGTGAGCTAAAAAAAATAAAATAAAATAAAAAAAATTGTACAAACCTGTAATAAAAAAAAAAAAAAAAAAAAAGGAAAGAAATAAAATTGTACAAACCTGTGGCACAAGTAAAGTGAGAGTAAATTATTTTGTCAGGATCGGGATTTAGATCCACAAACATACGTAATATAAACTCTCTGGCTGCCTGCGCATCTTTTTTTGGACCTAAAATAAAAACACAAAACAATTAATCTTTACCACCCTCAATTCTTAAATGGACTTGTCCATCTTTCAATCTGGACAAAACCATTCATTATTTAGAGATAATTTTAAGACATTGTTGGTTTAAGTCTATAGGAATTTGGTTTGATTCCGTGTCTGAAACTTTATATGCTTATCTAAACACAAAGGCTTCAAGGTTATAAATTTTTTTTACCGAGTTCTGTCTCAAATCTCAGGATTTTAATTGGTCAGTGGAAATTCTGCGGCAATTTCTGACCAATCAAATACTGGAGATATGAGTTTGAGCCTAGAGTAGGTCTTTATTACCTACGATTCGCTAATATATCCTCACGCAAAATATCTGGAATTTTCAAATTTGCTAACTTTTCGACACATGGAAATAGCAACTTATACAGTAATACGACATCCACAGGCTATTGTTTCATCCAGCGTAAACTGTTCTAGACCTCAAGACTGCTCGTCACTCAGTACGATACATTTACATACCACAATTAACGGTTCACAAAAATACATGTATGATGTCATTTTGTCACAATGCAAGCTTTTAGAAGCACAGATTATAATTATGAACAATAGTTATTGCAAAACTTTTTGAGGACGAAAGTCTTTTCAGTACGATTTTATATGTTTTAAGGGGGAATTTTTACGTGTTAGGGGGTGGGCAAAAAAACATACTACAGGCTGTCCAGCACCTTCCGACATAAAATTAGGGCAAATTTTAGGGCAATATTTTAGAAATTTTAGGGCTAAAATTAGGAATTTTAGGGTACGTAACAGAAATTTTAGGGCTAAAATTTGGAATTTTATAACTAAACTATGGCCCAAAAAGACCACGATGTGGGCTAACCTTTGCATATTTGATACAAAAGTAACTCACAAATAATGCTCTAGTTTAGTAAGAGCAAAGGTGTCTACCAGTGTGGACTCACTGGTCAACTGCCTCCCCTGCGGAAATGGTCATAGTCAAACCATGTTCAAACCATATTTGAAATATGGTTTTTCAATGGTTGAACATGTCAAAAGAACATGTTCTACCTATGTTTTGGGAATGTTATAACCACAAGTGTCTAAAAGGAATTCTTATACAGTGAAATTCATGCACAATGCAGCTTTTGAATATGGACAAATGAAATGTTTGTACAAGTAGGAAGTAAAAAGGCATTAGCCTTAGTACAGTCATTTGAATAAATGGGAAGCATCTATAATCAACACACAGAATTGCACATCAAAAAAGTTCATCACACAGACCATTCAATTGCAGTTTATCTAGATCATATAATTGCAAAATGTGTGTACATGGTTAGAATTAATTTTGCAAAGTCTATGTTAACACATTTAGTACTTTACAATGTTGTTTTGAAATTATGCAAATTTAAATAAAAAGAGTTGTGAGTAAACAAATTGTACATTAATTTTTGATAACTATTTATACATGTTTTTAATTAAGATTGTGTTACAACAGCTTCATAATGATCATTTTCAAATATGATATGATATAAATGGACCACTTCAGCCATTTGGAAAAAAAGAACAAACATAAAATTCAAGATATCTGAAGTTGGCAAAACGGTATCAAAATATTCCAGAATAAGTCGACCTCTTATGGATATGATTTAAGTTTTAGGACCATGATATGGTAGTGTTTTTGCTGTTAACTGACAACATGATTATAAACAACTGCTTTGATTATGAAATAGTACTGTTACGGATATAGTCAAAGTAACTTTTAGTTGGGAACGAAACCATTTCAATGTCACCAATTTTGAGTTTGCAAATCATGGCAAAATCATTTTTGACCACGTTCAAAACATGGTCCACTTTATGTTCAAGATCATTTTTCGCAGTGTTACAAGTTATAAGTATGTTTATAACAAAAGATAATTTTTTTTAGGAATTTCAGTGAAAATATAGGGCATTTTTAGGAATTCCTTTTGAATTTTTCACTTTTTTAGGAATTTTAGCCAAAGTGAAAAAAATTAGGATTTTTTAGGAATTTTAGGGACGCTGGACAGCCTGATACTATACTAATTTTGGTGGAGGACTGCGGCCAATATTCGGCCGCAGATTTAGTAGATCGAGGGCCCTAAAAACAAAACTAGTGAAATATGTACACTTACCATCAAACTCGGGAAAATAGTCTACCAGATGTGAATGCATAATCTTCTCTTCCAATAGATCCTTCTTGTTAAGGAATAATATGACTGATGAATTCTGAAACCATGGATACGTGATAATCGTGCGAAACAACGCTTTCGATTCTTCCATACGGTTCTGAAAAATATAAAAAACAAACGCGTTTCAATCCTGTGCATCGGACAAATAACATTTACTACATAATTATGGCAAACAATGTTAAATGGTTTTGAAAAAATATCAAAAACAAACATGTTGCAGTGCCGTGCATCTGATTACTAAATATGGTAACCTTGTTAAAATGACTTCCGGTCCTTATTTGCTGTAAAACAAAAGCCAATCATATTCTTTTACTCCCACTTTTGACATATTATCAACAAGAAATTAAATAAAGAAAGAATGATAAATAGTTTGGTATCAATTCGATAATAAGGTCAGAAAGTTTTTTTTTTACTTTATCAACAGGGAATAGGCAAAGGTCAAAAGACGTTATCTCAAAAGCTGTTATTGGTTTTCATAGTCTATATAACATAGATAATGTTATTATATATCATAATGTGCATTCAATCATTCTTGATTCCGTGACATTGATTAAATGATCAAGTAGGTCTAGAAAATTATCACCCACATCTTTGTCCTTAGTGATATCCTGTCTCATTATTTTATTTGAGCCGCGTCACGACAAAACCAACATAGTGCGTTTGCGACCAGCATGGATCCAGACCATGTCTGATCAGGATCCATGCTATTCGCTTACAAACTCTATAACAAGTAGAGAAACTATCAGCGAACAGCATGGATCCTGATAAGACTGCGCGGATGAGCAGGCTGGTCTGGATCCATGCTGGTCGCAAACCCATTATGTTGGTTTTGTCATGACATGGCTCATTTATTCTTTAATTCACTCACGTCTGTTAGAAATGTATTTTCCTATACACAACACAACACAATGGAATAAAAGGCCTATAATTTTTTTGTCTGTTAGAAATATATTTCCTATACACAACACAAACAATGGAATAAAAGGCCTATAATTTTTGTGTCTGTTAGAAATGTATTTCCTCTACACAACACAATGGAATAAAAGGCCTATAATATTTTTGTCTGTTTTTTTTTTTTGTCTGTTAGAAATATATTTCCTATACACAACACAAACAATGGAATAAAAAGGTCTATAATTTTAAAGTATAAAAATTTCTGCCTTTACAGCTAGTTAATTTCTACTAATGAATAAAAAGCTAGGTTTGAGATATATACAAATAAACATTGACCATGTTAGAACTGTCCACGGTTTATTTATACTGACAAAAAGAAAACTGGCCAACTAGCACAACATTGTTGGCTTGTCAAGCCCTGCACGAGGTGAAAAAATTGTAATTGATCAATATCATTCTTAACCAATTAACAGTAAAACAAAAACTGAAAAATTAACAAATAATAGTGAATAAATTCTAACAGTATGAAACAGAAAAAATTACTATCAAAAATTTATGTGTTTTTTTTATTTAAACATAAAATTTTGCAAGTGCCTCCTATTGGAGAGAGGGGGAGGGGGGTGGGGACATTCTATTACATTGCACCAACAAAGTATAAGTCATATGGTCACTTTACAGCTTTAATGGTGGAGGAAGAAAACCTCTGGTACAAATCTGTGCATTATTCCCGGAACAAACGGGCACCCAAGTAGAACAACAGACGGTAAGCTAGCTGGATAGTTTCATAATATTAAAGAAGCCAAAGCCCCCCTGGGGATGCGAAACCTAAGCGGTAGGGGGGAAAATTGCTTTTATGTCATCAACCTTAACCTCTCGGCCATGGACACCCGTAAATAATCTATCCATCTTAATTGAATCTTTAAACTATTTAATTGGCTCTCTTCAGCAATGGACTTCAACTCAAACACATTAAAATGAAAAGAATCAACAACTTGTGAATTTTCTTTAAACTGTTTAAACAGTTCAGCCTACCTTTAGATACGTACCCGGTGACAAATTCTATTACAAAGTGAGGAACATTTTGATGTTTATAAATAGTTATCTTAATAGTTGTGTGGTAGAATGCTCGTCTAAATTTAATGTTCTTGTGACACATAATGATAGCAGATAGTTATTAAAAAAAAATATTTTTTTTAATTCTAAATATTTAATCTTTATATGTACATGAATTCATGAATTTAATCAAATTAATTAAAAAAAAATCATAAGAAATACTGCACATCAGTTACTAAGAGAAACCACAAAAAATTTGCTATTTTACTTTTAACCTTATTTTATGAGCATTCAAATTAAATTCTATTAATAATAAATAAATATTTCTTATTCACACAAAAAATCTATTTTATTCAGATACAGAGTCCATATTTTTTACAACCAAAACTTGGAACAATAATAAGTTCTATATTTCTTTAAAAACGAACACAGAAATTTATTTTCAAAAATAAATATTGTCACATACAAAAAATACATGAAATTTCTTAAAACTCAACAATCAACTCAACTTACCAGGAGATCTGGGTACAATCTTAAATCCTATGTATAATACAACAAAATCTTTTAAAAAATATCATCTAATTTTTCTGAAAACTGGCGTGTTTTTTTGGCGTTATCATGGCCGCCAAAATAAGAGCAATGATGATGTTAATACGTGTGATGGTAAACTCATTTCTAACATATTTATTCTTATTACATACCCATGCTGCTTTTGCGACCCCGTAAAAATGGTAAAGCACGACCATGCTTATATTTTGATGTGACATCATTAGCGTTATACAAACACAGTATTGAGATGCGCTGAATGTAAGATTTCCACTATAAGAGCACCAATTAAAAATGATACTTTTCACTTTAAACGATCTTTATTTTTGGTATGTGATAAATAGAATATTAAATTGGTGTAAGTTTATTACCAAATTTATTGAACTTGTTGAATAAAATAATATGCTCGCCAAAGGCTTGCATGATAATATTTTATACAACTCCTTCAATAAATTCAGTAGTTAACTTACAATCATTCAATTTCCCCTATTTATTTGCCTGAATATTTTTTCTGTAATACTGTGAGCTCCTTAATTTTTGTATTGTATTAAAATTGTAAATTATGTTTTGATCATCAATAGATCATCCCAAAATTAGAAGCAAGTAAAGTATAACACTTTACTAGTTTATCAATAGTCAGTATGTGAATTAGCCACAAAACAAGTAGAATTTAGGTCATTTAGTAACTTTTTTTTTTTTTTTTTCATTTATTTTATATTTCAAAAACATAATTTTATAAACACAATCATTCACATTTACATAGAAACATTTAGTAACTTAGGTGGGTACTGATTCTTAATTGTAAGGAGGGATCCGTTTCTTAACTGGCCCCATTTTGTCGGTGGTTTTTTGTTGTTGTTTTTTTTGTGGCATGCGTAGGTAATTGTGGCATGCATAGGAGCAAAAAAGATTTACTTAAAGACCATACTGTGAAACAGTTCCTTAACATTCCTCTAATTGATGTTATAAACCATTTGTTTGTTTGTTTGATTGGGTTTTACGTCACAACGACACAGTATAGGTCATTTAACACGTTCCAGTTTTACTGGTGGATGAAGACCTCAGGTGCCCTTCTGTGAATTATTTCAGGCACGAACGGATACCTGAGTAGAACCACAGACGTTCCGTAATATAAACCATTTAACTTGTTATCAAGAACAACTGAATGCACTGCTTGAATTATTAACAAAGATACAAATCAATCAATTTGTAACATTCTAAACACATGAAACAAACAAATACATTTACTAGGTAGGTACTCAAAAATGAAGTGCAAAATGCGATTGTAAGTGCCGATTGCAATATGCACATTACTTTATTTGTTTACCTCACAATATTTTACTTTTAAATACATTTCCAAAATATTCTATGAAAATTAACATGAATCTGGAGGTGGCTGCTTTAAACTCCTTGCAAATATATGAATCCAAAGTCCCCAAACAGAAACCCACAGTGGTAAGTATCAAAGTGGGCAACCTTTACCACTCAGCCTCAAAGTAGGGCATTTTCACCATATCAAAAGGGACCAATAAAAGAACCCTAACCAAAATTGAAATGTTATGACTTTTTTCTTAAAAGTGGTGACATTTTAAAATTTATATAATCATACAATTTAACAAATTACAAAAAAAGATTTCCTGGAAACTGTATTAGTTTGATTTTTATCTTAAATTTTCCAAAATGACATTTTTTCCCCCTTTGTAGAAATGCTGCATGCCTCCAGATGAGCCAAACTATTTCAAGAAAAATTAAACTTGGGAGGAAAACATACTATAATTGTAAGAAAAGTAAAACAATTCAGCATTCAAGTTACAATTTTATCTTATGTGCGATTATTGACTGATTTTGCAGCATTAATCACCATATTTCTACTGCGTTACTATGGCAATAAGGGCTATTTTCGCATATTTTTGTCTTTTTTTTTTTTTGCTTATTTTGTCCTCTTTTTCACTTTTTAATACATTTTCAAAATTTTCATGAAAATAAATGCATCAGGAGGCATGCTGCTTTACGCCAGTGGCTTCTCCCAACCCCCCCCCCCCAACTTGCCCCCACCATCCAAACAAGAGGGCCATGGATGGCCCTGAGGTCGCTCACCTGTATATAGCCCCCCGCCCCACCCCCCGGCCCAATTTTTACCCAAGGGCTTTTATTTGTTTATTTGAACAGACTTGGTAGACAACCATAAGAAGATGTTTCATGCAAAACATCTAAGTTCTAGCTCATTAGGTTTTTTAAAAGGAGATTTTTTTAAGTTTTTACTATACACATATAGTTAAAAACAATGACACCCCTCGGGCAGGGCCAGTTTTGACCCCTGGGCTTTTATTTGAACAAACTTTGTAGATATTTACTTAAAGATGTTTCATGCTTAATATCTAAACTCTAGCTATTTGGGTTTTTTCAAAGAAGATTTTTAAGTTTTTGCTATACACATATAAGGAAAATCAATGACCCCGGGGCGGGGCCAGTTTTGTCCCCAGGGCTTTTATTTGTACATACTTGGTAGACACCCATTAGAACATGTCTCATGCTAAATATCTTAGCTCTAGCTCTTTGGGTTCTTTAAAAGAAGATTTTTTAAGTTTTTACTATATGCATATAGGGAAAATCAATGACCCCCTGGGGCGGGGCCAATTTTGACCCCAGGGCTTTTATTTGAACAAACTTGGTAGACATTCGCTAGAAGATTTTTCATGCCAAATATCTAAGCTCTAGCTCTTACGGTTCTTTAAAAGAAGATTTTTTAAGTTTTTACTATATGCATATAGGGCAAATCAATGACCCCCCGGGGCCGGGCCAATTTAGACCCCAGGGCTTTTATTTGAACAAACTTGGTAGACATTCACTAGAAGATGTTTCATGCCAAATATCTTAGCTCTAGCGCTTTTGGTTCTTTAAAAGAGGATTTTTTAAGTTTTTACTATATGCATATAGGGCAAATCAATGACCCCCCGGGGCCGGGCCAATTTAGACCCCAGGGCTTTTATTTGAACAAACTTGGTAGACATTCACTAGAAGATGTTTCATGCCAAATATCTTAGCTCTAGCGCTTTTGGTTCTTTAAAAGAGGATTTTTTAAGTTTTTACTATATGCATATAGGGAAAATAAATGACCCCCTGGGGCGGGGCCAATTTTGACCCCAGGGCTTTTATTTGAACAAACTTGGTAGACATTCACTAGAAGATGTTTTATGCCAAATATCTTAGCTGTAGCTCTTTGGGTTCTTTAAAAGAAGATTTTTTAAGTTTTTACTATATGCATATAGGGAAAATCAATGACCCCCTAGGGCGGGGCCAATTTTGACCCCTGGGCTTTTATTTGAACAAACTTGGTAGACATTCACTAGAAGATGTTTCATGCCAAATATCTAAGCTCTAGCTCTTACAGTTCATTAAAAGAAGATTTTTTAAGTTTTTACTATATGCATATAGGGCAAATCAATGACCCCCCGGGGCCGGGCCAATTTAGACCCCAGGGCTTTTATTTGAACAAACTTGGTAGACATTCACTAGAAGATGTTTCATGCCAAATATCTTAGCTCTAGCGCTTTTGGTTCTTTAAAAGAGGATTTTTTAAGTTTTTACTATATGCATATAGGGAAAATAAATGACCCCCTGGGGCGGGGCCAATTTTGACCCCAGGGCTTTTATTTGAACAAACTTGGTAGACATTCACTAGAAGATGTTTTATGCCAAATATCTTAGCTGTAGCTCTTTGGGTTCTTTAAAAGAAGATTTTTTAAGTTTTTACTATATGCATATAGGGAAAATCAATGACCCCCTAGGGCGGGGCCAATTTTGACCCCTGGGCTTTTATTTGAACAAACTTGGTAGACATTCACTAGAAGATGTTTCATGCCAAATATCTAAGCTCTAGCTCTTACAGTTCATTAAAAGAAGATTTTAAATTTTTACTATATGCATATAGGGAAAATCAATGACCCCCTGGGACGGGGCCAATTTTGACCACAGGGCTTTTATTTGAACAAACTTGGTAGACACTCACTAGAAGATGTTTCATGCCAAATATCTAAGCTCTAGCTCTTAGGGTTGTTTAAAAGAAGATATTTAAAGATTTTTCTTTCGGTTGCCATGGCAACCAGAGTTCTGCATGGAATTAAATTCTTTGAACAATTTTTAAAGGTGACCACCAAAGGAACATTCCTGTCAAGTTTGGATGAAATTGGCTCAGTGGTTTATGAGGAGATGTCATTTAAAGCAAAAGTTTACGGACGGACGACGGACGGACGCCGGACGAAAAGCGATAACAAAAGCTCACCCTGTCACTTTGTGACAGGTGAGCTAAAAACATAGCTGCAGAAAGTCTAGGTAGGGTACAGAATTAAGAGCAAGACTTACTTCATTATCTGATTCAACAAGAACCTGGTCGTATTCACTTAAGGCTACTAGGAACATAATGGACGTAACATTTTCAAAACAGTGGATCCATTTTCGCCTCTCCGACCTCTGGCCTCCAACGTCTACCATTCTATAAATAGAAAAAAAGAAAAACATACACAAGTTATCCACATATCATCATAGATCTAGTAACAAGTTGTTTTTTTTCTTCTCATTTTTCTCCCTTGGGTTACCTCCCTTGGGTTACAGATTTTCAAAACAAAAAAAATCTTACAGTAAAACTTTTGGTGCAGTTATGATCATATAAAAAACAAATTACACTCTAAATGAAATTGAAAAGTCAATTTTTTTTGTGAAATTCTTAGCCCAACTAGAAATAAAATCATAAATCATGTTAAGATAATCACAGGGAATAAGTGTGTGTAAAGTTTCGACTCAATCCCTTCAGTAGTTTCAGACATACCAACCTACATGAAAAAATCTTAAGCAAAGTGCAACAGCGACTACGAGGTGAGTACAATGGCTCTTCCCTGTGGTCTTTGAATAGGCAAGCTAAAAAATGATTCTTCTGGAAACCAATAAGTAATCATCCCATCATTTTTGTGTTTGAATGGCCAAAGTGACATGACCTTATACCTTTGATTAACTGACCCCAAATAGGTGTTATCTACAAGTCATGACTAACCCTATCACTTTATCTTACTAAGTTAGTATTTAGGGCCAACACGTTCTTTTTGTTATTGATCAGGTGACGTGGGGCTTACAGACTTACTGACATACAGACTCTTGACAGACACTGTGCAAGGCAACGTAACTCCCCCCCCCCCCCCCCACGTCTTTGAAGGAGAGCAATATTAAGCTATTTTCATCTTTTGGTCGTATTTTAAGAGATTTGCAACAAAGAATGGCTTTATTTATTACAAACAAATGTTGTACGTAAACAGAAATAAATTATTTCGGAACAAAATATTACACAAGCTATTTTGAGCAAGATATGCGATGGTTTCATGCATCCCCAACTCCCAAACAGAAAATTATACTGACAAATTTCTTTCATTATAGGTATAGAGGATATTCAAGTTTTTTCTATAAATACATGATTTATTTTCATCGAGTGGTATGAAAATAAATATTTCATGAGTGGCGGTAGCCACAAGTGAAATATGGTAATTTTCATGCCACAAGATGAAAATAAATCATGTATGTTTAGAAAAAACTTGAATTTTCTGTTTATTATATACATTTTTCTCTTTCTGGACATTAAATTTTAAAAGACTTTCACTTAAATTTTGAGTACTGGCAGAATTTAAAAGAAAGTAGTCCGGCAAGACACCAGTGAAAATACGGAAAATATGTTTCACTGCAGTGAAAAATAAATTTTTACAGTGAAAGTACGGAAAATGAAAATACGCATTTTATTTCATCAATATTTCTCAATATTTCATTTATAAGTATATAATAAATCCTGTTATCATTTTAATCACAATATAAAAATTTATTTTAAATCCTTAGACAGCAAATATATAGCATTTAAGGGTTTAATGGTCTGTTTGGACAAGCCTAAAGCCCATTTCCTACTGAACAATACTCCTGTTACTTGAAGAGTGTGGCAAAAGTAGGGCTTAAACTTTTCATTCCAGGGTGGAAAAGCAGACTACTTGCACACTGAACCTACAGTACAGAATGAACCCTCTAGCATATTTCAGTATGCAACATAATTAAATATGAATGGACAAATAACCTAAAATGGCTAAATGTCTGTTTAAAAATTACACTTTCAAGTCAAGTGGGTATACCATATTGCCTATGGAGTGATGAAAAAGGTTACCTAAATATTATACTATCCAAGTCAAATGAATATTCTATATTGCCTATGGAGTGATGAAAAAGGTTACCTAAATATTATACTATCCAAGTCAAATGGATATTCTATATTGCCTATGGAGTGATGAAAAAGGTTACCTAAATATTATACTATCCAAGTCAAATGGATATTCTATGATGCCCGTGGTTGGGGATCTCACTCGAAGGATATCCTGTAAAGATGGTAAATAATCGGGCTGCGTTATTCTGTCAACATCATCAAGGTAACTGGAAAATAAAAAGAAAACAAGAGATTAAATATTAGAGCTGTCATTCAATGCAAAGCATATGGACGATATATAGATATCGGATGACAAGTTAGTATAGGCAATACACCGATATATTGATAAATACTCATAATTTCTTGTATATGATACTTTTTAATTACTGTTTAAATGATTTTAGAAAAAGAAATGTTCTGGTCATGCAAATTTTTTGTGTCCCAGTTTATAAATGATCTGTGCATGATTTTTTTTTCTAACCATATTGTGTCATCACTGCTATGAAATGTGTCCATTATGTAACAACAGATTAGTGTTAGACATGGCCACCTGATTTTGTATATGTTCTTAAGTGAATTTTCATGATTTATAGAGATTTAAATAATCTATCAAAATTATCTATTTTTTCAAATGTGTATTGATTATTGATCAACAGAAAAAATATCAATGATATATCAATATTGTCTCTATCAATGACAGCTCTATTATTTATGTTATTTTTTGTAAAAACTTGTAACTTAAACTTTTAGAAGTGATTATCTGAAACAGTGACAGTCAATAACACCACTGTCCACCACTAAATCAACTTGTAAGCAATTGCTTTTGAATATATATATACCCTGTCAAATACTGGTTATTACTAATGGCAACAAGTGATTGAAGGATCACGGATCCAGGATGAGATTTTTGTTTGTTAAATATTTAGTTTTACAGCACTCCAACATAATGCAAGTCATATGGTGCCAAAACAATCAAGATAGTATTGCTAATCACAGGTGTTACAAACTTCTCCTGATTGATCTTATTGTAAATCAAATCTGTCTAAAAATAACAAAGTTTCATCAGTTTTAGCAAAAATAATTAATTTGACTTTCAATTTAAGGTCAATGTGAAGAAAGTAAATATGGTTCCAATGTTTCATTGGAATCCAGTAAGCAATTGCCAAGAAATAGCCCTGAACTGTCAAGAAAAAGCCCTGAGAAATAGCCCTGAACTGCCAAGAAATAGCCCTGAGAAATAGCCCTGAACTGCCAAGAAATAGCCCTGAACTTCTAAGAAATAATCTAGAGAAAGAGCCGCGAGACAAACATTACCCTACATACAGGAACTAAACAGCGGTCAAAACATCTGATATAATAAATTTATGGATTCTGACCAGTGTTCCCTCTGTAAAAAAACAATGTTAAAAGTGTTATGCCTCGCTTAGAAAAGGATAAAAAATTTAAAAACAACAATTTTCTTCATTATCCAACTGCATACTACAAGCTTTCATTTTCCCCCAACAGTATTTCAGTCATATAGGCGGGTAAATTCCTAACCATCGTACCTGGAGAGTTACACCAGTACTAGACTTCCTTCCTCTGCGCTAAACTACCAAAGCATCTCCCGTGGATCGAACCCATGCCAGAGAGGTAACTGGATTAGAAGTCATCGACTCTTAACCCCTCGACCACGAAGGCGGTCAATTGAGAATTTCATTTTGTAGACTTACTATTTAGCCGAATCGGTCAGCTGGTACTCTCTCCTCCTATCATAACACTCCTGTATTCCACTGTCAGCCCACAAAGCTTTGATAGCCTCTACAAACTGTTGTTCAAATGATGTAACCGTCTCATGATCAATCTGCCGTATCAAATTTGCATTCTCCTGAAAGTAGAGAAAAATCAAAGTCTAGAATATATGTCCATGGGAGAGAATGACAATTCATTGACATCCAAGGGGGAGAATTCATTGAAGACTAGAGTAAAATCATAGTCTAGAATATGTCAAAGGGAGAAAATGACAATTCATTGACATCCAAGGGAGAGAATTGGAGACCTCTCATTGATTCAGTGCAAAGTAAATTGACGATAAATTATATCAATATCAGACAACAAATATTGGTGGTACACTGATATATCGATAATTACATACTATATGTATTAACTTCTTGTCTGCAATTCTTTTTTCATACCTGTTTAAATACATGCATGTTCTTTTCTAATTAAGATCTTGTTTATAATTTATACCTGTTGCATGATTTTTGCTCACCATTTTTTGTCATCACTGCTATGAAATATGCTTCTGCAGCTCTGCCTATGTTTTGTTTATAGACATAGAATTATCATATCATATTATCGATTTTTTAAGATGTGTATCAATTATTGATCGGAAGAAAAATATCAACGATACATCAAGACAGCTCTATCGATGACTATTAATATCTATTTATCTTCTAGTGTTTCACTAAGCGAAAAAATCATCTGGCTTATAATGAAGATAAAATTTTCTGTTTTTTTGTGAATGGAAGAAAACCTCTCTTATTTCTCTGTTTTTTTGTAAACTTAATCCCCTTTTATATATACAGAGATGTAAGAGACTGCCAACCTTGACCAAATTCCCATTTACCAAATGGACATAGCTATTTTAAGACTCTTTTTTTTCAAATGACTTACTGTTACCACAATTTTTCTAGGGACGAATATTGTTTCATGACTACCACAATTTTTCTAGGGACGAATATTGTTTCATGACTTCAATTCAGCAACTGTTATTTTCTTGAGACATCAAATACCAGTCAGTACATTTACTACATGCACAGTGATCTTTCAGCTTATATAATGTCTCTTCCCCGTGCATATTTTCTTTAAAACCATACAAATTTTTTCCCAAAAAATCAGAACTTTCACTAGCTTTTTATAAACTGGGGAATTTTAGTGATAATTCTTACCAAAATCAAGAGACTAGGGCCTCTTTCTAGTTAAGAGTCAAAAACCACCGATACAAGAACATATGCTACCTTCAATGCAAAGTTTGTTTCTTCTTTTCATAGTCAATCAATTTTAACACTAGAAAGTTTATTGGTTAGGACAGTAAAAATCTTGAAAAAGAGTGACCCCTTGGGAGCAATGAATGAAAACAAAAAAATTACATAAAAGTTGCAAACTCGGTTTGATTGAGTCTGTTCATGAGGGATAATGGAGATTGTAACATCTCAAATGCCCTCTAGCCCAGACTTAAGCTGTATTTAATCTACAACACACGCCAACACTGTAATTGTAACATGGCATTATCATGAAAGACCTAAGACAGGGCTGGCAAAATCTGATTTTGATTTCAAAGTCCATTTTAATTTGAATCTTTTTATTTTCTTGTCCGTATAATATTTAAAGAGTAAATTCTTCAAAAATAACACTTGTTCGTACAGGCTGTGGCACAACATGGGCAAAATAGACAACTGATTTGCTAGCCCTGCCTAAGCTACCTCTCTCTGTGCTTATTAAAGTCAAAATTTGGCATCTGAGTAAATCTATTAATCTAAACCCATAAATCTCCTGTCAACAACATGGTTACCAACTTCTGCACATAAAAGAATCAAAGGTACATAATTGCTAGCTGCAATGGGGTTCAATCCCCATCCAGGGCAAGCTATTGTTTCACCGGACAAGAAACTTTTTACTTAATATTGTTTGCTAGCTACATGGGTTCAATCCCTATCAAGGGTGAGCTATTGTTTCACCGGACAAGAAACTTTTTACTTATTCCTTAGTACTGATTGCCGACATGCTTTCTAGGGAACGGATTTGAGTGTGTGTCCTTAACGGCTTCTTACACTATCTAACTAAAAATAACAATGTACTTTCTAGTAAAAGCCACTGAACTATTATGAGGCATCCATGGTTTATGGATTAAATATGTTAACAACAATGCCGTCACTCTTAATACCTGTTACTCTTAATACCGTAGGCACAAAAAAAAATTAAGTCACAAAATATTTGTACGATAATCATAATAATATAGTATTACCAACTTAATCAAAAACAAAGTCCCCAGTAAATATGTGTACATAATTAGTGTGGTGTATATATTACCGTGGTAACTGTTTCAACATTATAATGATTCTGTAGTAATGGTAACCTAATACCAGCGTAGAACTAAAAGCTAATCATGCTTTCATAATATTATTAAACAATATCAATATCTAGCCCAACCTTTACTGTGCAAGTAACAAAGGAGATATATATAATATACCATAAAGCTTATAAAGTCTAATTAAAATATGAAGTAAGTCACATGACTTACGTTACAATTAAGCGGAAAATTTCAGACATATAATGACAGGTAGTTAAAAGCCGTGGCAGCTAATATGATCATAGTAAAATCACAAGCACCTGCAAAATTTACTGCACGCTAATTTGCATGCTTATTTTAACAAATCGTCGCTAAATACTATGTCTTAAACCCTAATTCTGTTGCTGTTGACAACAGATTTTGCTATAACCCTAATTCTGTTGACAACAGATTTTACCCGTGCGGCCAGTGCAGACGAAGATCACGTGGCACATCGGTGGTGCAACTATTCCCTATTCAAGCAATACTTTTATGTCAAATTTTCCATAAAAATGATGTTGTTTTGTTTTCTCAAGATTAAAACATGGACTAAAGTCTGAAAGAAAGGTGATCTCTCGGAAGCATTAAAAACAAAACAAAAATTGCATGAAATTGCAGACTTGGTCTGATTGAGTCTGTACTGGAGGGATAATGAAAATGTGCAACATCCCTCAAGCCCCAAGACCAGCTTGAGCAGTACTCAATTTTCAACACTTAAAGGTGCTGGAATAAATGATCCCAAAAGGACCAGAAAAATATAGCACTGAAATGAAGTATGAAGTTCATTTAAGAAATTTAGCATGGTATGGGTCAAAATAAATGTAGTAACACTGAAGTAGTTCTAAATTTTCTTCCTCTTTCCCCTATGGAACAAAAGACTGCGCTTGAATTTCACAAAATGAAAAGGCTAAGGCCTCTCTGAAAAGCCCCACCTATGAAAACCTTTTTTTAGATGATAATACAAATAATATTAAGAGTTTGGTACAACTGCCAGAAATGTAGCACAATATGATCACTTTACACTACAACCCGTTATTGGGCTCATGCTGGGGTCCAAGGTCTCAACACCACGTTATAACAAAGGCCATAAGGGACCCAAAGCCCTAATAAAGCGTTAAACCCCAAAGGGAAAGGCATTAAAAACTGGGAGGGCAGGCATTTTTATGTTTTTTAAAACCCAAATCGAAATTCCCCTTTACTTACTTTAAAATTTTGGAAAGAGTTGTATGTTTAAATTCTTTTCTTAGAAAATTTAAAATCCACAAAAACTTTTTTTCTGGTTAATTTTCTTTTTTTTTTTCGTTTTAATTTTTCCCCTTAAAAAACTCAACCCTTGATTAGATCGTGCCTAAGTTCTAGTATTTTTTTTACACCCTTGGCGGGTTTCAAAAAAGGCTTCATTTTTTGGAAAAATTTTGTATAAATATAAAATTTTTTTTTTGGGGGTTAAATTCCTTTTTTCAGTTTTTTGGGGAATTGGTTTTCCCGGGGTTTTCCCCCCTTTTTTTTTGATTTTCCCCTTCAGAAAGTCACAGGTTGTTTTGAAAATTGAAAAAAAATCACTGCCCAGGTCATATGACTTAAATGGCTAGATTTATTTTATCATAATTACGGGTCCAAGTAACCTTCACCATTTTGATCTGAAATTGGGTCTGGCACAAAGAACTCCTAAAGTGCATCCATATTTAAAGGGACTCCATTGAGGTTTTTTGACATGACTTGACTGAAAATATTTTTCATAGTTTAATGTTCCATTTTATGTAGGCCTAGACCAATGACTTTTGTGCAAAATTCAGATCATTCACTCACTCCGTTTTTCAAGTATATTTTATTAATTTTACTGTGAAAATTGACCCAAAATTGAAAAGCGTTGTGTTTTTCACTCAAAGTGGGCTAACAATAGCCCAATAATACAATTTCTAATTCATTTCCGACTAGACGTCGTAAGTATCTGTTGCATATTATTCTGTTTTATGTGCCCAAGATCTATAAAAGAAATTCACATTTTAAATTTTTAGATAATTGTGACCTCAGTGGAGTTCTTTTAAAGTTTCAATTAGTGTTGAAGATAATGACCATAAACTAAAATTTATCCAATGCAGATACCAATAACCTTTTCTCACATGACTGAAAAAAAAAACATTGAAAAAAAATTGCACTGAAAATTGTCAAAAGGGGACAAAATCTGGCTATGATTTTGTAATATATATTTGAATAACTTTAGTGGCACAAATACATATACACATGTACATAAAAAGAAATTATCTCTGGTGAAAAAAAGACAAATTGTACAGGTAATAGTATAAATATATATTGTCAAATCATGTTTTGACACAGTTACAAATAACCTTTCATTTTCCCAATGAACTAAAACAAACAAAAGCAGTAAAAGTTAAGAAAACAGCATAATTATGTCAAATGTTATTTAAAGTGGAAAAAACTTTGCTATGCACACTGAGCTTACTTGTGACCCTTCATATATTATAGAGTTTCAAGTGAATATTGTTCTGGTTTCAGAGCAATTAAAGTAAATGTAAATTTCCATGAAATACTTATTTGTGGTAAGTATGCAGTGTCTAATGAAATATTTACATGTATTACTGGTAAGTATACAGTATCTTTATATATTAAAGTTGAAATAAATGGGGAAAAAAGTCCATATGTTATGGAAGGGTATTTCAGGGTTCGTACAGACATCCAGTATCAAAATTCAAGGACTTTTTAAGCAGTTTTTAAGCATGTTTTTCTATTTTTCAAGCACAATTTTTTGCGTGTCTATCCTACACAATGTTTAACCAATATTAATTTATAAGTCATTTCTTGTTGAAAATACATTTTCTGGCTACAGTTTCTATAGAATAACAACAAAGATAGCAACAAATACAAACTTAACTGCCACCCTGTTGTATGGCCCCCTGTTAAACCCCTTACTTCAATATATCATAAACAAGATCGGGTTTTTTTTGTTTTGGTTTTTTTATTTGTTGATTTTTACCGACACTAGTCTGTCATTCAATTATTTTCAAGCACATTTGTAGCGAATTTAAGCACTTTTCAAGAGAGTTATCAAATTCAAGGACTTTTAAGCACTTTTTATCATTTTTAAGCACTTTTTAAGAAAGGGACTGAAATTTAAGCACTTTTTAAGACTATACGAACCCTGTATTTGACCTTCAATTGTGACCTTGACCTTGAGCTTACTCATGGGCAAAATGGGTTCTGCATTTCCCCTTGTTGAGGTAAACATTTCAGCAAAGTTTGAAGAAAAACCTTCAATTGGTATAGGATTTATAGAGCGACACAATAATGGAGACGGACGGACGGACCAACCAACACAACAAACCGAATCCCCCCCAAAAACATTTTGTTGTGGGGGTATAATGACTCATTTACAATTGATAACTCTTAAAGATACTATTCTATTGTTTTTTTTTTTAACATTCCAAAAACTTGCAGTGTTATGTGTATATTCTATATGATTGCATGTTGTATATTTTACTTCAGGTAATCTCACTGAATCGGCTCCTATTTTGAAGCTTATGGGGGAAGGTGGATTCCCACCCCCATTCAATTTTGCTATCCCAATCTAAGACACTGAAATGATCAAATCATGCTGCTTTTTTACTAACTGCTCATCACAACTAGTGAACTACATGACTAAAATAAAAGCAAACAAAAAACATGCAGTACAGGGCTCGACATTAACGGTTGTCCGACTGCCCGGGACAACTAAAAGTTTGGTCCGGGCAAGTTATTTTGAAAAGCACTTGTCCGACAGGGCAAGTGAAAATAAAAAGCATCATTGACAAAATTCATGTACAAAATGAATAGAAATAACATCTTTTCATTTATAAACATCTTTAAAACAAAAATACACCATGAATCATTATCAATAATGTGAATATACTACGGTCATGTACATTTGTTGATATAGGAAACGGAAGCAAAAATATGAGCATGCGCCGCGGTAAGGTAATTCCCCGTTTTAATAATAGACTATATCTAATTTTGTACAAGGTAATTCCCGGGTTAGCTGTTGTTTAAATTTTGATGTTTGCATGTAAAGATATCATTGAAAATATGTAAATAATCATATTGATCTTTAAATATAATTGTTAAATAAAGTTTTTGCATTTAAAATGATTTATTGTTTAATCTAATATAACAACATTATGGACTCGTTTACGGCTGTTGACTTGATGATTGAACGGGGAATTACCTTACCGCGGCGCATGCTCATATTTTTCCTTCCGTTTTCTATATCAACAAATGTACATGACCGTAGTATATTCACATTGAATAAACAGATGAACCGATGTTTTAGAAAAACTACTAAATACAAAAAAATATTTGTGTCTAACTAACAATCAATTTCATAAACAATATGTCCAGTTTATTGCCTTTTGTTAACATTACCTTATACAAGAAGTATTAATGTATGAGCTTGTTTGTTTTTCTGATTTATACATTTTTACCATTTTTAGGTCAGGACAAGTAAGTCTTAGGTCAGGGCAAGTAGTTTTAAAAACTACTTGCCCGACAGGACAACCTGATTCAAAAGTTAATGTCTAGGCCTGCAGTATCTAACTCATATTAATCATACTGAAGTAACTTGATCTTAGTTGTGATTAGAACACCAGGAAGTAGCCGTTTCAAGGTCAGTAGAGAAAAGTCATTCCCTTAAAGCAGCATGCCTCCAGATTCATGCTGATTTTCATGAAAAATTTGAAAATTAATTTTAAAGTATAAAATTGTGAAGTAACCAAAAGGAAGCAATTTTTTACATTATCAATTGCACTTACATTCCATTTAATTTACCATCAAAATATGCATAAATAACCCTTGCTGCATTAGTAAAGCAGTTGAAATATAGAAATAATTACTGAAAAATTCAGCCATTAATTGCAAATTCCATGTCAATTATTACTTGAAGCTTGAATCTTTTACTTGAATCTTCATACATTTTTTCATGCTTGATTATATTGAAATATTTTGGCTCATCTGAAGGCATGCAGCTTTAAATTTGAACAAGAGGGCCATGATGGCCCTGAAATTCCTCACCTGTATCAAGGCCCCTTGGCCAAGGCAAATTTTAAACCAGGGGCTTTTATTTGAGCAAACTTTGAAGACACCCACTAGAAAATTGATAAATATCTAAGCTCTAGCTCTTTGGGGTTTTTATAAGAAGATTTTTAAAGTCTTTACTATATATATAATTATAGGGAAAAGCAATGAACCCCCACCCCCTCGGAGGGGCCAATTTTGATCCCATGGCTTTTATTTGAACAATCTTGGTAGACACTCACTAGAAAATATTTCATGCTTAGTATCTTAACTCTAGCTCTTTGGGTTTTTTATAAGAAGATTTTTTTTAAAAGTTTTTACTATATACATATAAGGAAAATCAATGACCCCCGGGAAACACAAGGAGAAGAACAATTTTTTTTTACAATTCTAAAGTTGACAGGCTAACAATTATTTATTAACTGTAGATGAAATGTAAAATATAACCATGCAAAAATTGTGTTAAACGCTAAATGGAATGTTTATTCATACGTAAAACATGTGCAATAACTTTAAAAATGAAACATGTCAAAATAATGCAGGTGTATAAACACAAAATGATCTGACCGTTCCTATATACTGATTACAACTAATGCAACACTGCAACAACTCAAAAAAACAGTTTTACGCTATGTGTTATAATAACACACGAGTCAATTTCAACCACACTCAAACACGTCATCGCCAAGGGAAATTTTGGTAACTTTTTTTTTATTTTCAAACCAATGGTTATTTTCAAACCAATGGTTAAACGCCGGCCCTGTGGGGGAAAATCAAAAGGTAAATTCCCAGCAAAAAGCCCAAGTAACACGAGTTGGGACATAAAACATGTTCATTTTAATGTGTCAAAACCAAACAACAGCCTTGAAGGAGAGAGTGTGGTTAGAAATGACTGGTGCGTAACAAAAAGCTAGCATGTGTTATTTCCCAATTCTAGCATAAAACTTAAACTCTGTTCATAATTACTTAACATATTTAATTTGATAAAATTCATGTACAATTAATAAAACAAGTATATATTTCAAATTTAAAGAATATAAGATCATTCCTAAGAATAATGCTTACAATACAGTATGACCAAATAAATCTCGTCTCCCCTTTACAGAAATTTCATTTTTAATACAGTTAACTCCGTACCGCAAGACAACTCTGTATCTCGAATTTGCCTGGACTTTTCAAAAAGGTTGAGATAACAAAATTTCATAACAATTTTTTTTTCATCACTGTAACTATATACATTTAGTGTAGCAAGTGTTGGAGAGTTAAGGTTTTATAGTTCATACGATACATATTTGTGTTTACTATGAAATAAATGGATTCTGAATGATTTGAATAAAATTATGGATTCACTAGCACTTAAAGAGTAGATTTTTTTCCATATCAAAAAGCCTGGAGGGGGGAGGGGGCTTTATAAGGGGAGGTGCGTTTATTACAAATTTTACAGTATTTGGATACTGCTTGGGGTATGCCCATTAAGAAACTTTTGAATAATGAAACTAGGTAACTTTGGAAAATAAGACTAGTCTTAATTAAAGTAAGATAATATAGAGGATATTTAGGGAAAAAGAAGGAATTTCTTTTGATACCTTAGGAATAGTCTTGCGTTAAGAATGCACAGAACCATCAAAAGAAAGAGGGAGGTGAAAGTGATGGCAATAACAAATCAAGTTCCAGCAACCACCATTATACTTTAATAGTAACAGTTCAATTTACAATAACCATATCTTGAGCCGCGTCATGACAAAACCAACATAGTGGGTTTGCGACCAGCATGGATCCAGACCAGCCTTCGCATAAGCGCAGTCTGATCAGGATCCATGCTGTTCGCTATCAGTTTCTCTACTTCAATAGAGTTGGTAAGCGAACAGCATGGATCATGGTCAGACTGCGCGGATGTTCAGGCTGGTCTGGATCCATGCTGGTCACAAGCGCACCATGTTGGTTTTGTCATGACGCGGCTCATATAGTGTTCATGATAAGTATTTCCCCAAAAATTTGATGAATCAATAAAGACAAGACAAGCCTCTACACAAGCTTCTATTCTGTTTGCTGACTAACTTTACTTTTCATCATAATATTCCTTTAAATTGGACAAAGGCTGTTCCAGAAAACATGGAAGATGGTCATTCATTCAGTATCCATTTTAATAAAGTTCAGAAGGTTAATAATCTATATTGTAAAAGTCAAGACAGAAACATGTGACCCGTTTCAGAAAAAAGTTTTATGCTAGAATATTTGATAGGGATATTTATTTTAGGACGAGCTTTCTGTCCTGGTCGGACAAGGGAATGTACCCACCTGTCCTTCCAGTATCGTGAGGCTTCGTCCTACCAATTCTAACATCTCCCCTTTTCTCTCCTGAATTTATTAGAAAACACGTTTATTGCATACCATATACTGTACTATAAAAGTTCTACAATACACCACAGGGAGTTTGTAGCTTATTGCATACCATATATACTGTACTATAATTGTTCTACAATACACCCACAGCAGTGTTCAAAATTAGCAGTAAATCCTAATAGCCCCCCCCCCCCCCCCCCCCCCCCCCCCCCCCCCCCCGACTACTAAATTTCTCCTCGGGCTACCAAACTTTTCAACAGTAACAAGCCCGACCAGGCTACTGTATTTTCAGAGGCAATATAAACAACTGTTTAGAACAAATGAATCGTGCTAGTGAAATGTCTTTTGGGCTAGTGAATATTCCAATCTGGTAGTCCAACCAGTCTAGTGGATTCAAATCCTAATTTCTTACACTGCCACAGGGAGTTTGTAGCAGTAAGCATGCAATAATATATCATTTCTCGGTGGATTTTTTAACTTTTTCCCCCAAATACTTAATGTATATACATAATCATTTATTTTAATATCTTCCTAACACACTGCCTAGGTTTTATATATTATTTGATAAGACTGATTCACGACATTCTATATAATTCAGTCATCTACATTAAAGGTATATAGGTATGCAACATGCGTGTATTCCGTTACGGAAACGATTTGTCCCACATGAATACATTTCTACCCTTCCCGTCTATATACCAGCTCTGAAACTAACATAATTATATCAAGAAACCTAGCCTACTATCGGATATTAAAACAAATAAAAAATTTTTCTCCCTTTTACAATTAAAAACCCCCCCACACAAATTTTAATTTTTTTCCCTAAACCCGGGAAATACAGTTTAAGTATAAACGAAAAATGACATTTAAAAACAAAAAAAACAATCCTTTTTAAACATGACATTTAATTTTATATACCCGAGCAATGTTTTTAAGGGTTTTTTGTGGGGCGGCTAATTTTAGTAATTTAAATTTGGCCGCAACCCCCTGGGTTAAAGGGGGAAGGTGACAAACAAAAAAAAACCAAAAAAAGATGAAAAAAACTTTTTTGGGTTTTTTAAATAATTCATGTTTTAACCTATTTTATAAAATTTTACAAGGGGGGCCATATTTCCCCCCCCACTAATAACAATATATATTTAAAAAAAAAAAATCTAAAAAATGTTTATTTTATCGCTTTAATAAAATAAAATGTTTTTTATCGGATGTGAGGAATAATATCACGAGGGCGTAGCCTGCAGTGATATAGATGATGCGCATGCCAAACGAACAACAAAGTGATAAAAATGGACCGATTTGGATATAGTTATTTCAATTCTTACACGACATCGGACAAACAAATGCTTGCCGTACCTGAATATTAAGCTAAATTACGCCCGATTTGTTTCCGTATTTATTTTTAGCACCTCACATTTTTAGTGGTAATGTCACGTATATAATGATTACGTCACATGTCTAAATATAGAATGTCAAACAGTGATTTTATTGCATAATAACACACACTTTCGGTTCTTCTATATTCAATAGGGAAAAATGCTTATAATGTTAGAATTGTATTTCACATACTTCGCCGATCAAAAATTTGTGTAGAGGCTTTAATGCACAATTATGATAAACAATGATGACAAAGCACAGAACTGTTATGTTGTAAACAGAGTGGGGATACAGAATTGGAAAAGCTGGGGGTTGGGGGGTGGGGAATGAAGACAGGAGTTGGTCCCCCAAGAAAGTTGACTTTTTTGCCATGAAGAAGTAACTATATATAATAATAATGAAACATCAAGGCCTGGAGACATTAACTGATGTTATCCTGCCCTCCCCACTGGAAACTAGTAAAAAAAAAGCAAACCCCTTGTGGAAAATGCATAAACCAGTCCCTGATCGCGCTTTTGTGACCCCTTCTTGTATAAAATCTAGGATCAACACCTGTATACTGAACAAACCATTTCTTAAGAACCCAAGGCTTAATAAGAACATAAGGCCTAAAAAATGTGTTAAATAATACTCACCTGGGTCAAAATGCACATTTTATCTCAATTATTAATCATAATGCACATTTTATCTCAATTATTATGAAATTGCACATTTAATCTCATTTTTTATTCAAAATGCACACTTCACCTCAATTTTTATGAAAAATGCACATTTAATCTCAATTATTATTCAAAATGCACACTTTAACTCATGAAAAATGCACATTTTATCAAAATGCACACTTTATCTCAATTTTTATTCAAAATTTAAAATTCAAATGATCAAAGTCGTATTCTCGCCAATTAAATTAAATTATAATGTTTTAATATGTATAAAGATGATTTAAATTAGCAAACGTTCCTGTAAAAAAAGAAACTAACTTTAAGTTCATTATTCAATAATACTCATTATAAATTTCTTCTTGTATTAACTATCAAAGCAATATCAAATATCAATATCCAATTAATGTTCCTTTCTTTTTGTTGTTGTTTTTTTTAATGTGTAGCTGCATTGGTTTAATATCACCAATAATTAAATGACTTTAAATGATGAAATTTATTCCAGAAAATTAATGTCTTTTTCTTTCTTGATCAATTTAGGTACACTAGTGATAAAATTTGGTAAAATGAGTTCCTGGGACTCTGAAAATGTATATTTGATGTTACTTTGTGAAATGACCCATTCTTAAGCGTAAATACTTTCGCAAACAAGGGCAACATCGTCGCAAAATACGCCCGTCACAAGCTCTTTTGACAGAGATGTGGGCATTATTATGCCATAATAGATATGCATAATGGGAGATATGCTCTGGACAATATCCATAAAATATCTAGACATTTGATCATCTCTAGTGACCTTGAACCTTGCAAATATTTAAACCTGACATTACATGTGTCACACTTGTTAGTCATTGAATAGGTATCATTTGTGTTTAACAACCTCTATAAATTGAATGAACTAAAATGGTCCCCCGTACAAACACAAACTTTGACTTCTTTTCTCTTGTGACCTTGTCTTTGGTAGCAGGGACCTTGATTATGTGCGCAATACGGCAATAAGCCTCACAATGGTGAACATTTGTCCCAAGTTACATTAAAATTCCCCCAATAAATGTGCAAGTTTGGTTCCGAACAAGCAATTTTCATAACCTTTAAGTATGACCTCTATAACTTTTAACTTCATGCATGTGACACTGCTTCTTTTAGTGGTGAACATTTCTATGAAGTTTCATAAAAATTCCACTATGTTTGGAGAAGATCTGCTCTGGACAAAATTTCTATATTTTGTCATATTAAGAATAGTGACCTTGACCTTGCATATTATATTAACCTAAATTACATGTTTCACACCAGTAGTTATGATAATGACCATTCGTGTTTCGATGCCTTAGCTAATGCCTGGGCAAGTACAATAGCTGTCCCTATTCTTTGAATAATCAAACTAAATGTACATTTTTGTTGTTAAACTTGGATCCTTTTTTCTTAATTTGATAAAAAAAATTAGCTTGTTTTTCCTAAAATGAGCGGCTAGTCACTTCCTAATTTCCAGGGAAAAAAGCCCTGACCTAATTCAGAAATGACTGTCAAATGTTAATTTATTTTAAAGATCATAATAAAACTTCATCTATAGATCTTTCACAACTGCTGAAAATACTTAAAAGCTTAAGCTGTAAGAATACTTGAACATTGGAAAATCATTATCTCAATTTAGAATACAGCAAAATAAATCAGGAGGTGAAATTTTGACCCAATATCAGCCGTATCAAAACACTGCCTTATCTAATCTAACTAATGTAAAAGCAAAATAAACTTTTTTTACAGTAAGCTTTATAAACTTTATGAGTTTGTCTATCTTACACACTTATACTTTGACCACTTCAACGATCATAGTTTGACTAACTAATGTGATGTAACCATAGATGCTTCAATTTTTTACCATTTAGTTATTCTAGTATGAACAAAAACAACAAATGCCACAACAAACAAAGGACATGAAAGTTAAAGATTTGACACTACGTTCTGACTGAACCACAGCAGAATTTTGCTTGGTAGCAGTAATGCATAGCTAAATCAGTGACATAAGCATTTGAAAAAGTTTCACATCCATGCAAGTTTTTTTCCCATGATTTTAGGAACATGACCCATACCCATGGAATTGCGAATTTCATCAATGTTTTGTTAAAAATTCGGGGAAATCGCACAATTTCGATTTTGCAGTGATTAAAAGAATGCAAAGAATCACTGTCTAGGATGGCATCTACTAACATTTAAGCACTATAACAGTGAAGAAGCCCTTATTTTCAAAGACTATAGAATTTGTTATTCAATATTTTTTATTTTGTAACTTTCAATTGGGATTTTTTTCCTGTGCATTGGGAAAATAATATACTATTTTCAATTGGTAATATGACCGAGTATCGGCTATAAAATAAACCAAAGAAAAATTCCTGTCATGTATTAACAAGAGGGCCATGATGGCCCTGAAATCACTCACCTGTATATAGGCCCTTAGGCCAAGGCCAATTTTATGCCAGGGGCTTCATTGGAACAAACTAGGTAGAAGATATTTCAAGTTTTTACTATATACATAAATGGAAAAACTATGACCTCTAAGGCAGGCCAATTTTAACCAAAGAACCCTTATTTGAACAAGCTTGGAAGACACCCATTAGAAGATGTTTCATGCTTAATATCTAAGCTCTAGCTTTTTGGGGTTTTTATAAGAAGATTTTTTTAAAGTTTTTACTATATACATAAAGGAAAAAACAGTGACCCCCTAGGGTGAGGCCAATTTTTACCCCAGGGCTTTTATTTGAACAAACTTGGTAGACACCCACTAGAAGATGTTTCATGCTTAATATCTAAGCTCTAGCCATTTGGGGTTTTTACCAGATGATTTCGTAGCGGTTTATGAGGAGATGTCGTTTGAAGTAAAAGTTTACGGACCGACAGACACCGGACGAAAAGTGATCACAAAAGCTCACCATGTCACTTTGTCAGAGGTGAGCTAAAAATAGAGACTGATCATAGGGAGTCTAAGTATTCTCAATTTTCAAAACAGTTGAAAAACTCCTTCGAATTGTTCTAAACTAGCTAAATTTTTTAAACTTAAAAACAATAAGTTGATATTTCTAAATGAAAAATCTGAATTCAAATGTATCTTTTTCATTTTCCTTCAACCTTCTATTAGTAACAACACTGAAGTTTTGTATTATGAAAAACATAGCTGTTGCAAAAAATATAAAATTGCCAACTTAAAAAAAGTTGTAACTTAACTGTATCAGTAAGGAAACGGGGCATTTCCTTATACATGGTAATTCCATCAAAATTTTTAAATTACAATGCAAATTTGACAGAACTTCTCCTTTTTACACCAGTGCAAGACATACGAATCATATACTGGCTTCGGGGGTATCTACCGACCGGCTTTCGGTACTGACTGAAATTAGGGTAACTGTTTATGACAGAAACAAGGCTCTGCGGAGTTTCTGCTAAACATTTACCTTAGAGCTAGATACTCCTGTCTATAACAAGAGCCGGTGTTTGATTCTGTTTCTTGTATATTAAATATTAATTATATTTTGGAAAGAAATTACGAAAACTAATATTTTCAGGTACCACTTTTTTCTTACAACTTCTTTCTTCAAAGGAAAATTAGGACATACTATGAACGAAATTCATCCATAAAAGGCACGGGAATGATTTACTTAAAGCATGTGACCTGTCTTACATAGAGGGTTAAAGACTTGTTTTTCAAGCAACAGTGTAAACAGTAGATAATCCCATCTGATATGCAAGAAAAACTCATCTTACACACCTGTGTAAGTGAAATTGTGTGCTTTAAATGTCAATTCCAGCATATCTTTCTTTGCAACAACACATGCCATTTATATAGGAAAACTTGAGAGCAAATACTAATAAAAAAGTTTTTAAAAATTAAATTTTGTTCAAAGATAAAATTGGTTTAGCAGACGAGATATATGGAATATAAAGAATACAAGAATAAGAAGTTTAACGGGTAAGAAAATGTTCAAGATTAATCAACAATATACCTCATTGTTAGGGTCTTTGTAGCTGATTTTCAATGTGTCCATAGCTCGTATCATTGCATTCATTGCCATAAAGATATTCTGGTACACTATCTTGATGAAGCTTCTTTTGTCATCCTCGGAATAGCCTGTACCATGGATAATCCTCATCTGTTTGATAAATGTACTCTTCCCACTCTCTCCCGTCCCTGCATAAGAAAATACATGTATCGAAGACCTGACATTATTTTCATAAACAATTTATTTGCTTGTTTGTTTTGGGTTTTACGTCACACCGACACAGCACAGGTCATATGGCGACGTTCCAGCTTTACTGGTGGATGAAGACCTCAGACCTTCCGTGCATTATTTCAGGCACAAGCGGGCACCTTAGTAGAACCACCGACATTCTGTAAGCTAGCTGGATAGCTTCCTCACATGAAAAAATCCGTAGTCCCTTTCGAAATTTAAACGCACAGTGGTGAGGGGCAAGTGGTTTGAGGTTGTTGACCATAACCCAGGGCCCTAAATCCAATTTGGGGGAAGCGGGTCGCTACCCTCAGCAGGGGGAATTTTGGTTGTATGGGGGGAATTTTTCTCTTTTTCTTTTATGGTCAAATATCAAATAAACTTATTTAAATATCAGCTGTTTTTTTATTTACATGCATATTGTTTTTTTTAAAAAATCCCAAATAGGTAACACTAAACTGTTCAGAAGTGATGTTTATGCAGCTTAGCTTTCTTTATAATTCACCCCCCCCCCCAAAAAAAAAAAAAGCATTTAGAAACACATTCAGACAAATGTCTCCATTTCCAGTAATATGAACAATACATGGACCTAAAGTAAATTCTATTCATAAACTACATTTCTAGTGTTCTAACACCCCTTTTACAAGACAAAGCTTCCTTTTCTTGACTTTGTAAAACATTCGTAAAAATCGGCATCGCGAAAATATGTGACAAATGCAAGTTTGTTTGTTTTCTGTTTACACATCCACGATTCTAGTTGTTTCTGATGTAAATTATATAAAATTAAATTGATTGTTTATTATAAGATCATTTTTCATCAGTTATTTAATAAAGTATCATGAAAACAAAACTTACAAGTTTGTAATTTACGGCAAAATTTACCGTGGTTGATGTAACATTTGAAGACAAAAAAAAAATGATTTCATGAATCAAATTGTTGATGGGAATTGTGATTTTTTCTGCATATTTCTGTTGGAATTTTAGCATTTTTACAGGATGAAAGGCCAATATGTGACGGTAGATTTTGGGGGAAAAAACAAACAGAAACGTTCAGACATGTACTGTACGATATTCAATTTACAAAATAGACGTCAAATAGATGGATTTTAATTTTCAAAAACAACATTAGTTTTCATTTTTTCTCTTTAACACTTTATATGTTTTGAGGGGGAATTTTTACCTCTGTTAGGGGGAAAAAAACATACTATTTTGGTTGGGGACTGCGGCCGAATATCGGCCGCAGATTTGGTTGATCGAGGGCCCTGTAACCACTTGGCAACGGACGCCCCCATTAAAAATAAATCATTAAATACACTGAGGGTCATAAAGATTTTTCTAAGGTTTGTTTAGAAATTTGAGGTGGTCATTCTTGTTTTCATCACATATTATAACAGAAACTTGTGTTTTCTGCATTTCAACCCTGAAATATATCATAAAGCAATTAGCATACTAGTAATCATTCTTATTCAATAAAGACAAAAGCCATTTTTTAAACATAACCGTCCGTTTTCATTTTTTTAAAGACTAAAATTTCAAATGTACTAGAATCCTACAGAAAATTGTCGGTAGGCATTTGTCTGTGTGGTCTGATTCTGTAATTAGTTGTAGGCAGGGATTTTTTCCAGGATTTTGGGAACACGACCCATACACATGGAATTGGGAATTTCAGCAGTGTTATGTTAAAAATTGGAAAAAAATGCATGATTGAAATTTTGCAGTAATTAAATGGATGCAAACAATCACTGTCTAGGATGGCATCTTCAAACATTTTTAGAAGCACTATTACAGTGAAGAAGCCCTTATTCGCAAATATTTTATAATTTTTATTCAATATTTTTATTATTTAACTTTCAATTGGGAATTTTTTCCTGTGGATTTGGAAAATAATATAGATCTACTATTTTCAATTGAGAATATGACCCAATACAGTGTTGCATCTAGAATTTCAAAATTATTGGGGGTTGTCCCCCCACTCAACTGAAAAATGTGGGGGATTTGAAAAAATGTGGGGGACATACATTTACCTTACATAACAATATGAAAATAATTCATTTATTTTACGTTCAGACATTTTTGACAGCAATCGTCCGCTCGACAACGGAAATGGAAAAAATAATATATGGGTCGATAAAATATTGAGGAATACTACCAAATACAAGCGAGATGACCCTGTCAGCTGCTACACGCGATTTAGTCGGTAATTTAGTCATAACCGCGAGTGAAAACAAACATGACTGAAGGCCTGAAGCGTTCAAGAAACAATGAAGATAAACTGAATAAGGTTGAAAAGATCGTCAGATGCGCGACTTGGCGTGCAATGACTTCATTAAAATGGGTGATCTGCATAAAATATGAGCAAATCACGCAATCGCGAGGCCTAGATGCAACACTGCCAATAACGGCTATAAAATATGCTATGCTATTCCTAGGTTTAACAGGAAGATTAAATGACTGAGTCTATAACTTAATGGTGGTTTTTACATGATGTCCATAATAATGTTGGACTTTGCCTCACTCAGTAAAGTTTTATACTTAGTCATAAGGTCAGTTTCTGGTTGACAGTATTGCGATTGAAATGACATTAACATTTATACTAAATTTTTAGAGAAACATCATTTGGATCTCGCCCTGTCAGGTGAGATTGATAAATTTTTTACTTGACCGACCTGAACATTTTACTAGCAAATACGAGGGGTCGAGTGGATTTATTACGGCCTGAGTCAGAGTTATTGTGAATAATGTGTAACGGGCATTTAAATTGATTTCAGGATATCACATAGCCTTTTTAGGCGGAAATTCCTTTTTGGCCTAGGGGAAACAGCCTTTATCAGGCTGTGAAATATTGGAAATAAAATCTATGAACCCCATAAAGATACATTTCAATGTGTACCCCACCTTGCAATAAAAATTATGAGCTACTTCAGATCATTTTACTTGTCTTGGGAGCCTTTTCAGCACATGCATTTTAACCAATAACAGGAAGTAGATCTGTTTATATACTGTGTATTGGCCCAGACAGTTTTTTTAAACTTGCCTAAAAATGTCAAACTATTGCTTTTATATATTGGAAAGTTAGGCCTAAAAAAAAAAATTGTTTTGTTCGGGTCACCCGAACCTACCTAATAATATGCGCCGACCCTACCGTTTTTTTCGTGTCCAAAAAAAAAAAAAAAAAAAAATCCATGAAAATACCGTATTATTGAGGTACTCAATGAGCAGTGTGAAGGGCAATTCAGGCGAAAATTTCGCTCTGTATATTTCCATTTCGCTCTCCCAATTGATCAAAGAGAAGTCAACATCGCTGATAAAATCTTAATTCCCAAAGAGTAATTACTTGCCGATGTAAAGAGCAGAGATTGTATCCGCCCATATGACGACTGCTAATTATCATTATCCAATCAGAGCATCGCTATATACTACCCTTCTACCTGTATGCAAAGCGATAGACCGCCTACTCTAAACAGTAAATAATGAGAGCATCGGCCCGAAACGGGTATATTTTGCGAGTTTAATACGGGATTTGGCGATAATTATAGATTAATTTTTTTCCGATCAACTAAACACGTGCAAATCTTCCCTAATTGATATACACGCGGTGTTTAACCGAAGTAAAGGCGATGTGCAATGGGTTTTTCACGGCTATCACAAAACTGTTAGTCAATTCGCAAAAATCTTATGATTGGTATGTTGTAGACAGTGAGGGTGTTTTGCATTGTTATCTTTGTAGAAATGCCAAATTTGACACAGCTTGTACGCACGTGGGCACGACATCCTAAAACTACGAATCATGATCGGCATATGCGACATATCGGTCGTATATCATGTGCTCATGTATATAACAACAAAATTTGTCAGGAAAGAAGTGTTCTTATTGTTTCAATATATATATATTTGTTTTAATGTCATAAATATGACGCTCAGATTAAGATTTATTAATATTGTAAATTTCAAAAAGCATTATTTATAAAGATATTACCCAGTTTAACATTTAATGAAAATAAAGGGAGGTAATTAGAAATTTATTTTCTATAATTTCTCAGTCGAATTTTTCAATAAGAAATGAATGTATATAATTTTAGTGATCAAATATAATGTGCACAAATGTTTGCAGTACATATTTTACATATTCTTCGATATTTGAAAATTGTTTTATAAGCATAATTATATGCACATAAATATGACAATACAACATAGAAGATCATAAAAGAAATTTCTGTAAACAGAACAGGATAGACAGATTTTATTAATCATTATCCAATGTAACTTTATCTGGAAAGTAAAAATATAAAGTTAATTTATTCATCATAGTTTTCTTACACATTATTATCAAAAATATATGAGAAAGCTTATAAATAGCTGATAAATAGATTGTGTTTCTATTCTAGTTAAAGGATGTATAGCCATGCATGTTAATGCATACACATTGGGATGTTTCCCTTCTGCCGATTTTTCACGAGGAAGTCACTTCTCCCTAAAATTTCCCCCCAGGATGAGCCCTGGGTACGGTACAGGTTTTATCGCCGCTCTTAGTTACAAAATGGCGGATCACATCGTCAATATTTGTAAAACGGCGTGTGATCTTCACCAGAAGAACGCTGAGAGTTTAAGATTGTTACACCTGAAATGTCTTTTGAAAACATAGAAGGGATGTATTTGTGCCACCCGGGAGGGATGTCAGAAATTTCCATATCTAAATTTCAATATACTGGTGAAAAAAAAAAAAAAAAAAAAAAATCCGACCTACCCTACCTATTCCTTGAGAGCATGTTACCCTAACAAAACAATTTTTTTTTTAGGCCTTACATGTCAAGAACAACGATTCAGTGATTTTTCTCGCTTAATTGGGAAGAAGCCTTAGCCTCTTGATTTTGGGAAAAATTATCGCTAAAATTGCTAATTTGGGAAGAAAAAAGCATGCTTCAGTTCAGATTTTTGGGAAAACTGCATGATTTTAAAGAAAATTTCAATTGGGAAGAGGCCCTTTTTCGGAGTCTGTTATATATGTAGGAAAATCACTGCGATTATTGATTAAAACAGTTGTTACTTTACTCCCAACATCTAGAACTTATTTGAAATTCTTTTTTCTGTCAGTAATTTCATTTTCGGGGAAATCAAATCAAATGTTTTGATGCATACACATGTCAGGCTAGTGTCCATGAAAACTATGAACCAAAAGCTGTTCCAGCTGACAAAGATATATTCAAAACATAGAAGACTGAAATTTAGTCTAATTATGCAATTCTGATATAAGTGTTCTTTCAATGTGCTAATGGCATCAGCATTGAATTTGCACATTTTACCAGCAACAGAAGATAATCATTATGCAAAAATAGAATTGACAAATGAATCAGTATTTTTTATCAAAACAGGATGGTGTAACAGGTCATTATTAACTTTATGACGTTAACATTCCAGATGATGTTCTACATAATACATCAACGAGTTATAAACACAACTGTCAACACGAATTTTATGTGAAAAACACAAGATTTTAATAATTATTAATATTCAAGATGGCCGACTCTGCATCAGATTTGGATGCAACTGAACTGTCTTCAGCTAAATAATCCGTTTTTTCAACCATCATGGGATAAATTATACCCACCAAGTAATAAAAGTTTAAGTTCTCTTCTAGCATCCCTTTTGTCTTTGCGCAATTGTCTTTCGATCTCCTGATTGATGCGTTTTTGTTCCTGTTGTTCAGCGCTCAGACAGCACGCCATCTTGGATAGACCTGACGCTCACGGTCAGTGAGTCAGGTCGATTTTACGGAGTTCCTGCCCCAGTCTTAATATAATACCGGCGTCACGGGCCCCGGAAAGAACCCCTCCTTCAAATTAAAAACAAACCGAAAGCCCTATCTTGGCTCCTTGTGCAGATAACATCCAAAATAACAGACGCTAATATTGGTTCAGCTTCTGCATAGCCTCTGCTACAAACAGGGTGTGGTAAAATTTAGGGTAGTTTAGCAAATGGAACAGCAATCGATAAATCTTAAAACATAAAACATTTCTTTGATTAAACGAATACAAATCAAATATAGCATCCTTTAAATGGACAGAAATATTATTTTTTAGTTATATGTTGGTCAAACAAAGTTAACTATTAAGAATGAAAGCCGTTTCATCATCGAATTTTATTCATGGAATAGCATAATTAATGGCGTACAATAAATTGAAAGCGGACACCAGGACACCAGCCACTAAGGCGCACTTACATACACACCGCATATTTTTATCGGTACCAGCAAATGTTCGGTTCAGAGCCTCGCTTTGGTCCAAGGTCTGTGCATACAGAATGAGCCGGCGAAATTTTATTGAATGAAAAAGCGTATATTGAATGAAACGACGAATAACATCTTTAGTAGGAACGATTATGGCTATATTGTTTCTAGACAATTATGGATAATGAAAAAATGTTTTTAAGTTATGATGTTATGGAAAATATAGAAGCCTGTAGAATTGAATTTTCATTTATAAGTCATGTTATAAAACAATATATAATGACAGCAAATTAAAGCATTAAAGGGAGAGAATTACGGGAAAATGAAATAAGATCTATATATATTGATGATAAGTGATGAATCACTGCAAAAAGAAAGCGCGTTAATTTTTTTTATTTAACCGTGAAATACAAGAATATGTCAGAAATCTGAGCGCTGTGCAAAAGACCTCTAATGATAAAAAATACCGAGCACGTGGAGTTTAATAGTAAGCACTGGACAATGGTTGCTAATTCCATAATAATTAATTAATTAGGGTAATTTTCTCAAGAATGTGAAAGCATGTTAATGTAAGTCTAAGTTGTCAGTGCTGCAATTATTTACCTGTATATTTAGTGCAGACATTATTATATATAATATCAACCAGGGAGAGGGGGTGCATATCCCCCATCACCAACGTCGATTATGATAGACCACAGAAATAGTTTACTTAATTATTTTCGACATTATGACCTTCACAACTACAAATGGGCCCAGCATTACAAGTTAAATTCACATAATCAAAATATTATTGATTTGAATTAAATATATTTTATTGCCAAAAATGAAATATATACATGTATACATGTAAAGACAGTTACAGTACAATGGTATAATATATATGTCCCACAGGTTCTCTCAACATTAGCAACGGGTCTTCCCTGATGCAATATGTAAAAGAACATATTTTACAAGAATGACTACCAGTTAGATAGTTCTAAGTAACTAAACACACACATATAATATATATTATTATAGTACTTGGCTTTCCCAAAAAAAAAAAAAAAAAAAAAAAAAAGATAAAAATGATAATACCGGTAGGTAAGAAAGAACAATGAAAACAATTGAATAGTATTGAACACTGTTGACTGATTTTTGTATAATTTACGTTTCAATGACTTAGAAAACATGTACAATAGCCAAATATAACAAAAACAAACAGAATGCAAATAGATATTGAGAAAAGGAAATAAAGAAGGAACAAAAAGAAGAAAAAAAAGAATATTGTCTGTTGTTTTTCAAATATGAAAGAAAAGTACATTCATATGTATTGAGATTATGCTGGTTTGATTTTAAAATCAAAAGAGTTTGGTTACTTTTATGACATGCTGAACAGTCAAAAATATTTTATTATGATTTTCTAAAGAGAACTCTTTGTTACCAATTAAAAAATAATTGGACATTTAAAGGGTGAAATTGCCTTAATTCGGTAAAAAAGATTAATTCTTTCCTTTCGATATTTCGGACAAGTAAACAAACAACAGGGCCAAGATGGTCCTAGATCGCTCACCTGGCCCATCGAACTCATCTGAGCAATTACCTAGACAAGCATTCTGATCAAGTTTCATGACATGTGACCACTAGACTGTTAACAAGGATTTTCCATATTTGAGCAGTGTGACCTAGTTTTTGACCCAAGGTGACCCATATTCAAATTTAATCTAGAAATCATCAAAACAAACTTTCAGACCAATTTCCAGGATAATTGGATCAAAACAGTAGCCATTAGAGTGTAAACAAGATTTTTCTATTTTTAGCTCCTGTGACCTAGTTTTTCACCCGAGTTGACCCATGTTCGAACTCATCCAAGTAATTACCTAGACATGCATCCTGACCAAGATTGATGACAATGGAGTAAAAATGTTAACAATGTTTTTTCCATATTTGGGCGGTGTGACCTAGTTTTTGAACCATATTCGAACTTGACCTAGAAATCATCAGAACAAACTTTCAGACCATTTTCCAGGATAATTGGATCAAAACAGTAGCCACTAGAGTGTTAACAAGATTTTTCTATTTTTAGCTTCTGTGACTTAGTTTTTCATCCGAGGTGACCCATGTTCGAACTCATGCGAGTTATTACCTAGACAAGCATCCTGACCAAGTTTGATGACAATTGAGACCTCTAGAGTGTTAACAAGGTTTTTCCATATATGGGTGGTGCGGCCTAGTTTTTGACCCCAGGTGATCCATATTCGAACTTGACCTAGAAATCATCAAAACAAACTTTCAGATCAATATCCAGGATATTTCGGTCAAAACAGTAGCCATTAGAGTGTTAACAAGATTTTTCTATTTTTAGCTCCTGTGACCTAATTTTTCATCCGAGGTGACCCATGTTCGAACTCATCTAAGCAATTACCTAACAAGATTTTTCTATTTTTAGCTTCTGTGACTTAGTTTTTCATCCGAGGTGACCCATGTTCGAACTCATGCGAGTTATTACCTAGACAAGCATCCTGACCAAGTTTGATGACAATTGAGACCTCTAGAGTGTTAACAAGGTTTTTCCATATATGGGTGGTGCGACCTAGTTTTTGACCCCAGGTGATCCATATTCGAACTTGACCTAGAAATCATCAAAACAAACTTTCAGATCAATATCCAGGATATTTCGGTCAAAACAGTAGCCATTAGAGTGTTAACAAGATTTTTGTATTTTTAGCTCCTGTGACCTAATTTTTCATCCGAGGTGACCCATGTTCGAACTCATCTAAGCAATTACCTAGACAAGCATCCTGACTAAGTTTGATGACAATTGAGTCAAAAATGTGACCACCAGAGTGTTAAAAGTTTTTTTTCATATTTGGGCGGTGTCCCCTAGTTTTTGACCCCAGGTGACCCATATTCAAATATGACCTAGAAATCATCAAAACAAACTTTCAGACCAATTTCTAGGAGATTTCGATCAAAACAGTAGCCACTAGAGTGTAAACAAGATTTTTCTATTTTTAGCTCCTGTGACCTTGTTTTTTATCCGAGATGACCCATGTTCGAACTTATCCTAGCAATTACCTAGACAAACATCCTGAATAAGTTTGATGACAATTGAGTAAAAAATTTGACCACTAGCGTGTTAACAAGGTTTATCTATTTTTAGATCCTGTGACCTAGATTTTCACCCGAGATGACCCATGTTCTAATTCATTCGAGCTATTACCTTGACAAGCATCCTGACAAAGGTTGCTGATGATTGAGTCAAAAATGTGACCGCTAGTGTTAACGAAGAAGTGTGTCCGTCCGTCCGTCCGTCCGTCCGCTTTTCTTGTCCGGGACATAACTTTGAAACAACAAGAGGTATCAACATTTTGTACAAACTTTGTAGGTAAATATATCTCATAGAGTAGGTGTGCAGTGCACAAGAACCGTAACTCTGCCTTGTCTAATTTTTGAATTATTGCCCTTTGTTTATTTCTACTCTTTGAACTTTGTCCGGGACATAACTCTAAAACTATAAGAAATAACATCACAAAACTTTATAGATAGATAGATCTCATTCAATAGAAGTGCAATGCAAAAAACATAACTCTGCCTTGCCTAATTTTTGAATTATTGCCCTTTGTTTATTTTTACACTTTGAACTTTGTCCGGGACATAACTCTTAAACTATAAGAGATATCAACATGAAACTTTGTAGGTAGATATATCTCATTGAGTAGGTTTGCAGTGCACAAGAACCGTTACTCTGCCATGCCTAATTTTTGAATTATTGCCCTTTGTCTATTTTTACATTTTGAACTTTGCCCCGGGACATAACTCCAAAAGTATAAGAGATATCAACATGAAACTTTGTAGGTAGATAGATCTCAGTAGAAGTGCACTGGTAAAGAACCATAACTCTGTCTTGCCTAATTTTGGAGTTATCGCCTTTTGTTCATTTTGACACTTTGAACTTTGTCCGGGACATTTCTCTAAAATTATAAGAGATATCAACATGAAAATTTGTAGGTAGATAGGTCTGATTGGGTAGAAGTGCAGTGCTAAAGAATTATAACTCTGACTTTTGAAGGTATTGCCCTTTATTTATTTTTACTTTTTGACTTTTGTCCGGGACATCACTCTAAAACTATTAGAGATATCAACATGAAACTTTGTTGGTAGATAGATCTCATTGGATATAGCTGCAATGCTTAAGAACCTAAACACAGCCTTGTCTACTTTTGGAGTTATTGCCCTTTTGTTCATTTTTTCACTTTGAATTTTACCCGGGACATAACTCTGAAACTATAAGAGATATCATCACAAAACTTTATAGATAGATAGATCTCATTGAATAGAAGTGCGGAGCAAAAATCATAACACTGCCTTGCCTAATTTTGGAGTTTTTGCCCTTTGTTCATTTTTTTTAAAGCTTTCCTGTGTCCAAAACCTTCTCGGGGAGCATCACCCGGTTCAACCAGTTCTTGTTTTCAGGGGTTTCATATTGTGACAACAGGAAACGTGTTTTTATGTTTGACTATGATACAAAAAGGAAAGAACACCAAAACACTCGTCAATCTGATTAATACTCGGGGGCTATGCGTTATTACAATGCGAGGCATATTTTTTTTCTCAAGATTTTTCTATAAGAATAGTCGTTATTATAGAAAGAGAACGGAATTCATGTTTCTTCGCATTAGTAACCAATTCTGAAAACTGCTTTAAACTGTAGTCCAAAATTTTGGCT